TGCCGCCCCAAAACCAGAGCACATTTTTCCTTGAAAACGAACTACAGTACATCCAGTCACCCCTACCCTTCTCGCGCGCAAAACGTCCGCCCTAACCTCGACGAGGTGTGGCGCTGCCGGCGCTGTCGCGTGGTTCGTGCTGGCGTGATGTCGCCTCACTCAGAAGGGCCGCCTCATCGCCGTGAGTGCGAGAGAGACAGAGCGACGACAGCACCATTCGGAGTGAGGCGACAGAGCCGGGCGGTCCGGGCCCTTCTCGCCTTTTTGCCCACCTTTCCTTCCCATTTTACGACCATTGTGACAGCCCCGTTCCCACCTCCGCCTTGCGCCGCCCTGGCCGGCCAAATCCGGACGGCTTTTTCGTCTTCGTCGCTCTGTCTCTCTCGCACCTATACGACGCGCCCCACGAGTGCGAGAGAGACAGAGCGACGAGAACGACGAGAACGACTCTCGGTCTGCAGCGCCGCGACGACGACCCGCACGACCCGCCGTTCAATTAGCGGTCCCATTCGCCGCCCAGTTACGCGCGCGCCGCGCCGCGCACGCCATCGCACCTCGCGACCCACGCCGCCAAATTGGACGAGCGAGGACGCCAAACGACGTTAGGTCGACGCGGCGGGCTCCGCTCACACTGCCGTTTTCGCCGCTCTGCTTCTCTCTCGCGCGCATGGGCGCCCCGCGTGTCAGTGCGAGAGAGACAGAGCGACGAAACCGACTCTCGGAATCAGTCTCCAGAGCGCGCAGAGCGCGGCGCCTACAGGATAATCATGAGTGCCATGACGCTCCAAGTTTGCCGGGTTGGGGCCGCTTGCCGTCGGCCTGCCTGCCGCTTGCACCGCCTCAGTTTCTCAACGTCCCTCCCTGCACTACATGGCCAACCAAACAAAGCAAGTGGAATCCTAACGTCGCCAGACAAACCGACCAATGTATACATCGTGGCGAAACCCCGCCAGCCAGCCGCCACGCCCCGCCCCGCCCCGCCCCGCCCCGCCCCGCCCCGCCCCGCGAGCCAGCGAGCAGGCCGAGCCAGCCCCGCCTTACAAATAAGTCACTTGGTAATCCACAGCCGGTACGCCACGGCGGTGCGCGCGGTGCGCCACAACACAGACCCGGAAACAGCAACCCGATGAGGAATATTTACGGTCCGCTATGGATAGAGGGATAGAACCAGGCCCAGTCACACGCGGCGCGCGCGGCCGCATCAAGATGGGGACGGCCTGGGTGGCCTGCCGCACGTACTCCGCCGCGGAGCCCCGGCTCTGGCGCGCCAGCAGACTCATTCCGAGCGTCGTCTTCGTCGCTCCGTCTCTCTCGCACCTCTACGGGACGCCCCGCGAGTGCGAGAGAGACACAGCGACGAAGACGACTCTCGGAATCGGGCTGCAGGCATCTGCCGTGAATCTCGTGGCAGGGTTGGCGAGGAGGCCGGCGAGGCCGCACGTTAAAATCGTGTGCTTTGGCTGCTGTTTCCCGAAGAAAGCGCGCGCAGACAAGCCGGCAGGCAGGCAGGCCGGCCGCGCCGCGGCCACGCTGACGGACGAATACGCGCATGCCTGACAGATCCCATTTAGTCCAGTCCGGGGGAGAAAGGGATATGCCCCTTGCTTTAACGCGGTGCGGCGCGCAGCCCAAGCCCAGGCCCGCCGCGCCGGCCGGGGCACAGCACGGCCAGCACGGCCAGCATGGCAGGCAGAGTGAAAGGGAAAGGCAACGGCGGCGTCACAACAAGTCTCAGGGCCTGGAAGCCTCATGCAGCCTCATGCAGCAGCGAGGCTAGGGGACTGCCTTCGGGACGGCCAGGGCCTCGACGGAGACGCGACGGCGTCGTCTGCTGCGAGCATGCTGCAAGCGCACCGCAGGCGCACCGCGCGCACTCCGGACACCCCCTGAGACCGCCGCTCTCTCCCTCTCTCCCACACTGGCGCGGCGTCCCGGCGGCGTCCCGCAGGGGGTGCGAGAGAAACAGAGCGACCAAACCTGCCGCGGCGCACGGCACGGCGCAGCGTCCCAATTTAAATCAAAGAACAAAGCGGCCGCTCGCTGCGAGGCAGTGCAGTGCAAAGCAGTGCAAAGCAGTGCAGGCGTGCCCTCTGCCCCGGCACTGCTCTCGCGGCGCCCCGAGTCTCGTGGCAATGGACACCACTATCAGCTTCAAAAGAATTGATCGTAAATACTCCTCGCGCCCATTCGGCCATTGCGGCGCATTCAAGCCCCGCGTATGGCACGGCCATGGCACGGCCGTGGCGCGGCGACGCAGGCGCTCTCACCGCACGCCAAGCAAGCCCTCAAGCCGTTTCAAAAAGACGGAGCGCGCGCGAGGGCACGGCCGAGAAGGGAGAGGGAAAAAAGAGGGAAAAGTGGCGAAAATGACAATGTCCAGAAAGCGAGCAGGCACAGGCAGGTTCCCGCGAAAGAAGGAAAAGAAAGATTATGTCACTCTCCGCGCGAAGATGAAGGCAGAGTCATCTCGCCGACCCTGTGGCCCAGCAGACTGCTTCCGAGAGTCGTTTTCGTCGCTGTGCCTCTCTCGCACTCGTGGGGCGTCCCGTGTAGGAGCGAGAGAGGCAGAGCGACGAAAGCGATCTCGGAATCAGTCCGCAGCCACCCAGGTGAGTCCGCCCTGTCACACAGTCGGGGCGCCGCGCCGCGGCCCGCACTTATTTCCGCCACGACGCTTCCGCCTCCACTTGACGCAAACCCAGCAATTAAAACTTCCATTACAACAAAATCCCTTTCCGTCGCGAGGCTCAGCGGGCGCCTCCTAGAGCCCGAGGCACCACCAGTGGCGTGGAGGGGAGGGGAGGGGCATTCCGCCGACGGTGCAGCCATTTCGTTCGATGCACGCCACTATGCAAATTCGACAGGTCGATTAGCCCTCCACACTTGGCAGAGGGACAAAAATGCGTCCGGCGGCAGGGCTGACTGGAGTCGCAAGGCGAGCGAAGCAGCCGGCACACTGATTCCGAGAGTCGTCGCTCTGTCTATCCCGCACCTATACGGGACGCCCCACGAGTGCGAGAGAGGCAGAGCGACGAAGACGACTCTCGGAATCGGCCCACAGCCTGACAGCGTCCCCGCCATTCGCGCCAAACGCCAGCAGTTGGCGCCATTAGGCGTCATGAGCATGCGCGCCGCAGCGGCCAGGCCGATTCCGAGAGTCGTTCTGTCTCTGTCGCACTCAAGGGGCGTCCCGCATGGGTGCGAGAGAGACAGAACGACTCTCGGAATCAGCCGGCGGGTCTCGGCGAAAGGGGAAACGCGCAGCGCGCTAAGGAGGTGCCCACGACAGAAATGAGCGGCAACGCGCCAAGTCCGCGCGGCGTGCGGCCGCGATACCCCGCGCGCTGGAGCCTTCCTTGTCGAGCCGGCGCGGCGGTACCCCGCGCGAGCAGAGCCCCCAGCCCGGCGCGGCGCCGCTACCCCGCGCTCGCGCCGGCCGGCCGTGCGGCCAAAGTGCGTTACCCAGTCCGCAAAAAGGAGCAAAAGGACGCGGCAGACGAGGCGCGGCCAGACAAACTTGTCAGAGAGTCACTGCCCCGTCGATAGGGGTCGAAATGGGCGCCAAGCGCCCCGGCAAGCCCTCTGGCATCGCGCCGAACGTCGCAGAACGCGCGCCCCGCAACGCCTGCCGACGACTTGATTGGGCAGACGAGCACCGAGACGGACTTCGACTTCGCCGAGGGGCTCGCGCTCTCCGGGGGCCACAGTCTCTCCACCGCCACATCGCGCCACCAGGGCGTACGCGCACGCCGCCACAACTCCAGAGTCGCGGCACATAACTCGAACCGAGCGTGTGACCCCACCAATGGATTCGTCGTTTGGAGAGCAATCCATTGGCGGGATCACATGCTCCGTTCGAGTCCACTTCAGCGACTCTACAGCTCAAAACGCGTCTAGAGTTTGGGCCGCCGCTACCGGTCTTCTGCTGGCCCCGTGTGGAGGAGCATGGCCTTGAAAATCATTCGGAGCGGCAGCGCGGCCCGGACCTAGCCCACTAGAAACTCCACTGGCCGGGCCGGGGTCATGAGGTCATGGCAGCCGCGACGGAGGACAGTGTCCGCCGGCCGGGTGCCGGGAGCGCCATGCTGTCTGCGCCGCGGCCTGCAGACTAATTCCGAGAGACGTTTTCGTCGTTCTGTCTCTCTCACACTCATGGGGCGTTCCGTGTGCGAGAGAGACAGAGCGAAGTAAACGACTCTCGGAACCAGCCTACAGTGCCGCTTCGCCTCGGTCCGGGGCGTCCGGGGCGTCGCCCCCGCGGTGACCGCGCCGTGGCTGCGTCTCGCGCCCCCGCCAGCCAAGGCCCCCGCCCCTGGCCGCGACGCGCCGCGACGGCCACGCAGCCCCAGCCCACAAGCCGGCAAACCCACGGACGCAGCTGCCACCAGCTGCCCAGGTAGGCCACACGGCTCGCGGCTCGCGGACAACAGCTGGATAAATCTGGTTTCGCCTCCGCGGGGCGGGGCGGGGCGGGGCGGGGCGGCTGGCGGCGCGGCTCCGTGCCACTCCGTGCTCTAGCCGCCGCATCCTGTTGCTTCTCGACGCGCGACGCGCCCCAAGACGAAATAACAGCCCGATGAACATCGTCGAACACAACCAGCAGTCCGCGCGAAACGCCCCAGCCCCAACGAGAGCGGCCCGCGGTTTCTAGCGAGACTTTTCGCCCTACTTGCAGCGTCGGCAGTAAAGACGGCTAGGAACGGATTGCGAATGGCGCCCCGCCTCCTACGGCGCTGCCTGCCTGCTGGGCTGGGCGGCTGGCTGAGACCGTTACACGACGTCGCGACGTTTTGACGTTTCGAACGAAAACGCCGGCGAAAACGGCCGAAAAGACGCCCGTAAAGCAGCGAGGGCCGCAGGGCGTGCCGCGAGGGTCCCGCAAAGGGAGCCCCATTCAAAACACGCGGCCCCAGGCGGCGCCAGGCGAGCGAGGTTAGGTGCCCCGGTTTCGACACGAGAAGGGAACGGCCGGCGAGGATTACTAACAAACGGGTACTCACTTGCTGGAATTGCGGGACACCTCTCCCAGGCCCACGTTGAAGGAGGTTGAAGTCATGGTGATTGGGTGGATTGGGAAGAAACTGGCTCAGAAATTCGGTCGGCACAACCAAGGGGATCAACACGCACAGGCAGCAGGCAGGCAGCAGGCAAACAAAACAGTGACAGAACGGCTGCGAGCACAAAGCCAAGCGACGCCTTCCACAACAACGACTGCCGCGCCGCCATCGGCCTTCGCGCGCTTAGCAGGCGGTGCTGGGCGGGGCCTTCACTAGAAGGCATTGCCAACGTGATGGTGACAACGAGGCTTTTCTCAGTGGAACTACGCCCCTCTTCGTCGATCAGTGAGATTATACTTTAGGGTATCGATTTGATTTACTTTTTTAAATTGTTTAAAATCTTGGTTTTTGGCTGTTGTTGACTCTCTGCTCACCTAAGCTTGGAGCTAGTGTTGGACAGCTTGTACTAGCTGGAAGAGGAAAAAAAAGTAAAAGCAAAACCTAGAAAACAGTAGAATGTCGCCTTGAAAATCGAAATGTCGAACTTGTGCGTCGGTCGTAATTTGGGTTTGGGAAGCCTATTCAACTTTCTATGAAGTTTCTACTTTGAAAGGTTGGATATTATGCTTTGGGTGTTAATATTGATGTTTTTATAAAGAAAGAGGGTCTACTTTGTACTGCGCATCTTAATTGGAGCCGCATGGTGACAACTAAGCGTTAGTGAAGATGTTGAACCAAGCAGCTGTGGAGGCCTTGTATTCGGCAACGTACGTCGAAAACTATTTGGATTGCACCGAAAATCTCCCCGATGAATTGCAAAGACACCTCTCCCGCATGCGGGAGCTTGATGTGGAATATCAGTGTAAGTAATAACCTTCGAAAAACACAAATCTGAAATCAGGTTACACCACCCAGCAGAATGTAAACGATGTAAACATCAACCGACGCCGTTTTAGTTTTCTCACTTAGATGTATGCAAAACAAATCTTGCGCATGTGATCTTCTGTTCCATCGTATATCTGGGCTTGATTTAACTCCAGTCAGCTTCATATCTTGTTTTAAATCTTTTGTTTCATTTTGCGATTGAATGGGATTAACCGCCAACTTTTAGTTTCTTTCAAATTTATGTTTGCACTTGATGTTTGCACTTGCGCTCTTCATTGGCCTGCATTGTAATTTCAGCATTTGTATCAGCGTTCATGCGGAGACTGGCCAGCCAGCTGGAGGCAGTTCGAAATTCAACTGAGGACTCAGCTCAATGGAGGCGAGCCCTTCTTCGAGCCCAGAAGGAGCTCATCGCTGCTCAGGAAGTTGGTGATGAAAAGCTGCACATCATGAGCCAACTGCAAGAACACATAGATAACAAAGTGCGGCAAATGGACATTGATCTCCGCAATTTGGGTAAGTATTGTATGAAATGTCCTGTTATGTATGTTCTTTATGTTAGTTTGTTTAACACTGTGTCTTTTTTTGTTCAGATTACGGCAAAGAGCAAGAAACAAATGATACTGGCAAGGAAAATCAGACTGCTAGTTCTGGTGTGAATGCTGGTAGCACCCGAGCTGACAATGGAACCTCTGGAAGTGGTGCCACAGGCGAGAGATCCTCAAAGAGAGCAAGAAGAGGTGTTATGTCACAGTCTGACACAGCAACTAACTCACCTGATGTACCTGCTGCACCTGAAGTGCCAACAAGAAGAGAAGGAGCACCAGCCCGGGTGAGTTTCTATTTTATTTGTCCTTCATCCTTTGTTTTTGTCTTGGTTGAGAAAAACAATGTGTAAATCGCCTAAAAGAAATTGTATAATTACCAGGCAACTGTGAGTAACCCTGCGACTGGGAAGAAAGCTGCGGCTGGCACTGGCAAGAACAAAAAGAAGAGGAAGTCACGAGGTTCATCTTCTACTGCTGCACAGTCGTCATCTCAAGCAGTTCAAGAACAAACACCACCGAGGGATGATGAACTAGCAATAGATCCGGATGAGCCAACTTATTGCCTTTGCGATCAGATATCCTTCGGTGAAATGATCCTCTGTGATAATGATCTGTGTCCTATTGAATGGTTTCATTTTGGCTGTGTTGCACTTACAACCAAACCCAAAGGAAAATGGTTTTGCCCTAAATGCCGTGGTGACAGGCCCAATGTTATGAAGCCAAAAGCTCAATTCCTTAAAGAATTGGAAAGATATAACAAGGAAAAAGAAGAAAAATCATAAGAGATATATTTCAAAATTTTATATGCATGAGTCAAAGATGAATTATTTATCAATAAGTTTACTTTGTGCATCAAGTTGCTATCTCTGTGGCATGATGTGCTCGCTTATGCTCATTCAGATTTTAATTCTTTACATTTGCTGTACTATTATGTCACTTATGTTACACTGTCTTCTATCTTGGGAATTTTTACATTATTTGTTTAGCAGATACCAATGTTCAAACAAGTATGTATGTGCATTTGATGTCCGCACTATGTGTGATAATAGATTTGATATCTTCATTTAGTTGCTTTCATGGGACAGTTATGATTGTGCACATTTGAAACTATAACTTTAGAAATTTAACGTTTCTATAGTGCAACTAATGATAAAGATATCATATTATTTTATCCCCTTTCTTAATTGTGTAAAATCAGATTCCATGTCTCTGTATTAAATTGTTTTAGAAATTTATTTTACGTGTTCTATGGCCCTCATAGATACCCATTTATTTTGTCTGGTCATAAGCACAGTTTTATGTGTGTATGTTCTTCTAATTTTGTGACTCGAAAGTGCAACTTCCTTAGTGCCCAATCAATGAATATGGCACATTTCTCATTGTTAAATTTTAAGCCACGAGGAGGAATATAATCAAGCTGTATGTATGTTGCTTGTCACTTTTCAATAACATGAAAAGTTTTGAATATAAAATACCAGTGTCATTTATTTCCCTGTAGTCCTTTCTCATTTCCGAAACAATTGTTCACATGTTTTCATTTGATTGCCCTATCAGTATTCAGAAATGAAAACTGTTCAACTTTCTGGTTCTCTCTGTGCACTCTAAAATTATCCAGTAGAATCAATATTTGCTACAGAGTTCCAATACATTTGACTGTTGTTGCTCCGTAAACATTTTTGTCAGTTTGAACTTGCATGAGAAAATTGAGCAGCTGGGATAAACATTCTACTGGGTCGTCTGTTGACAAGTGGCACCTGGATGTGCCCTTGCCCTTGCGTGTGTGCGAGTGACTTGACTTGTCCATGCCCTGCTCAGCTCGCTCAGCTCGACGGTCTTGTTGCAGGGCGTCACACAGGCTGCAAGCTGCACTGGCAGCAGTAGCAGTGTAGCAGCATGATTGCACCAGGCGAGCCAACAGCATCCCCTCCGCAGCCTGGCGCTGAGGACGGTGAGGACACGAGCCCCCCACGCCCAGCGAGTCGAGTGAGTGTGCACTGCACAGTGGATGTGCCTGACGGGCCGCGCCCGAATGCGGGAACTAGGAACCCCAAGCTGACGGTGGGCTGTTTCCAGGATGGCGGCGACGTGGACGAGGCCATGGACGTGCCGGCCCCGGTGGACGCCCTCCCGGACGAGGTGCTGCTGCACGTGCTTAGCTGCGTGCCCGTGGCCGACCTGCTGCTGCGGGTGCCGCTGGTCTGCAAGCGCTTTCGCCGCCTCTGCTACGACCCGCAGGTGTGGCGCCACCAGGAGCTGCACTACCGCGCCTGCATGTCGGACGAGGAGTTCGCCGAGCTGGTGCGCGTCGTGCCGCTGCCGCGCCTCGGCAAGCTGGACCTGACCGGGATAACGGCCGGCAGCGTCGCCGAAAAGGCCATCGAGAATGCCATCGTGGAGGTGAGCGAGCCAAGCGTAGCCAAGGCTGACAGGTAGTCGAAATGAAGTCAAATGATGTCATTTTCACTTCAATATGGACCAAATTTTGGCAAGAAAAAATCGCTAATTTTGAGGTCACGTTGACATCATTTGGACTGTTTCGTTTTCCTTGGGCAGGCGGCTGGTCGCCGCCCCAGTTTGAATGTACTTTAATCTTTTGGCATTTGATTGCAGCCGTACAGCGCGCGGGGCCTGAAGCTGGTGCTGAGCGACGAGATGGACTGCAGTGTGGCGGCGCAGCTGGTGGCGCGGCTGCTGGACTCGTTGACGTCGCTGCACGTCGGCGCGCTGCCCATGAAGCGCGAGAGCTACTTCCGCCTCATCCGCCTGGTGCGCGAGTCGACGCGGCTGCGCGAGCTGCGCCTGGCCGCCACCGTGGAGCTGCCGCTGCAGTCCGCCTACGTGTACTTCAACGACTGCAACCGCGACCACGCCGACTGGGAGTGCCACGACACTGTGGAGCGGCTGGAGCTCTGGAGCGAGGGCGGCGAGATGTCGCTGGCCATGCAGGCAGGGGCGTGCTGCATCCTGCGCACCAACAAGAAGTCCCTGCGCTTCGTGAGCCACGAGTACATGAGCAGCAAGCGGCCGCCCTCCGCGCAGGAGCGCCGCATCATGGACGCCGTCGGCAAGTGCGAGAGGCTGCAGGAGGCGCGTGTCTGGAGCTCCCACCGCCTCAAGGTGCTGGAGGACTGCCCGGAGCTGACCAGCCTCACACTGAGCTGTGACGGCGAGTGCGACCGACGCCTGGAGCCTGACCCACCACCACCGGAGAATAACCAAGGCAACCAAGGAAACAATGGGCCGCACATCATCATTCAGAACTACGTGCCACAACACCTAAATAACCAACAACAAGATGAGCAAGTGCACCAACATAACCCACAACAAGCCCCGGTACTATTGCACAACTACATGGGACACCTCAACGGCCAGCACCACTTCCTCTTCCAAGGCGACGCGCACTTCGGCCACGCAGGGCCCGTCGCCAACGGCGTCATCGCCCTGGTCCTGCCTGGCTACGGACAGGCCGGCAACGGAGGCGTCCCCATCGCCATCGTGGTCCACGCCCACCTCGATCAGAACCTGGTCCAGCCCATCGAGCCCGGGGCGCTCAACGGGTTGCCGATGTTCGGCGAGCCCGAGGGGCACGACTTCGCCGCCCACCCGGTGTACCAGGGCGCGGACGCCCCTGGCGCGCCCGGCCTCGTCGTCGTCACGTTTGGCGGCTTCGGCTTCGGCATGTTCGCGGTGCACGGCGTGGTGACCTACAACGCGCCGCAGATGGGGCTCATCGGCTTCTTCGTGCCCCACGGCTTCCAGCTGCCGCCCAACCTGCCCGCCGGCCCGCTGGCCCACGTCGTGGTGGCGGGCGGACGCGTGGCGCTGCTGCCCGGCCCGCAGGACCACGCGCTCTACGGCCTCTACGAGAACGGCTGGGTCACGGTGCTGGGCGACGCGGGGCCCATCATGCTCATCCAGGCCCAGGGCCAGGTGCACCTCGCGCTCAACTGGCTGAACATGCTGCAGCAGGCCGTGGAGCCGCACAACCAGCCGGGTCAGGCTGGCAACGGCCCTGACAACGGCCCTGGCGACGGCCCTGGCCCCGGGGCTCAAGATCCCCCCGACGGCGAGGGCGAGGCAGGGAACGGTCAGCAGGACCAGGAGCCTGCCCAGCAAGACCCCGCCGACCCGCCCGAAGATCGCTTCACGTGCGTCGAACTCTTCCAGGAGAGCCCGCTGCTGCCGAGGCTGAAGAGGCTGTGCCTGCGCCTGATGGACTGCGACAAGGTGTCTCCGCTGGGGCACGTGGCGGCCCGCTGCCCCGACTTGGAGGAGCTCACCCTGCACTGCCTCAAAACGGACAGCCACCTCAACGCCAACCTCAGCGTGAGTCCGCACTCGGGATTCGATTATGTGTACGCCACCCTTGGTGTTCGTCTCAATTAATTGACTCCCTTGGCTTTGTTTTCTCTTGTTGCAGATGCTCACCAATCTCCGTCGCCTGACGCTGATCGGGGTGCACTACCTCCACCCGGACTCTCTGGAGCAGTGGACTGAGAACACTTTGCCCAGCCTCGAAAGGCTGACGCTGATCGGTGCCAACCGGATGCCCTGCCCCTGGAAATGCTGGGCAGCCGCAGTGATTAGACTACGCTCCATGCGCCCCAACCTTGTTATTGCAGTCAAGGAGTGCAAACACTTCAGAAGTGTTTGAGCGACCGCTGCACAAATCATTCTTGTCTTCTTTTACTTAATTCCACATGTCTCATTGTGAATGTTAGTCCAATATTGTGTATTGTAATCGTATGCCATTCTCTAAAGTTATTAAGTGTTTTTGTTTCTCATTGACCTATGTCACGTTCTTTCTTATCACGTGCACTGTACTTAGTCATAATTTATTTTTCTACAGTTATAAGTATGAATGTTACCTGTACTGTGTAAGATGTAATAGTGATAGTTATTTTATATCTTTCTTTGTTTTTGTTTGTAATTCATATTTCAATGACCCTTAGAAATTTAGACGTCTTAGTCATCGTTCTTTGTCACTTGTTAGATATTAAGAATTCGTAGTCTTGTCTTTTTGTTTCAAACATTTTTAGGTGAGATCATTGAATTTATTGTTATTCTGGCTGTGAGCTGACATTGAAAATAAACATATTCCAATTCCACTTCTTCTCTTGTTATTTTTAATGAATACCTGAGCCACTTACGAAAGCAAGTCAAGATAAATAATACCTATACAACTGATGAAACATTTAACTATATTGAACAAATAAGCTTCAAACATACACATCTCATTCATTTGTAAATCCAAATTGGGTCCAAGAACCAAAATTTCAAAGTGCTAATATCCTTTCGTCCCTCGAAACCTCGTTCTGTTGTCAACCTGAAAAAAAGGGACAAGCACAACAATGTGAATTGAGCAACGAGGTTACTGAGAATAAACAATTGCACTTATGCAAATGGAGAAATAGACTCACCATTGATTTTTTACAAGCGATGAAATAATGGTACAGATGCATACATTCCGGTGTGGCTTTATTCTGCTTAAGACATTCTCGGGGAGTAAGCCTTTCCTGAAAGGATAAATAAATACGTGAGGATCTTAAGGTAAGAAATTAAATGTAAACTGAACTAGGGAAACGATAAAATCAAAACACTCACTTTTTTGCAACAATCAGTCTCCAGCAAACAAATCTTGAGATCAGCCCTAAGCCCTGCACAGGGGGTTTTGTCCTCAAGCTCCCAACCTTCTACTCCTCGCAGCTCAGACATTGCCTGAAGAAAAATAGGGGAAAATGCAATAACTAAGAGAGCCATTTGAGGTTATTGGGCCCTATGTGTTCATGACACATTTACACCACCATCAATGACCGACAATCTGTGCAAACCTTTTACCTCTTAATATTGTAAGGTATAATTTCCGAATCACCACTGCACAGCGAGAATCACAGTTCACAAATAAAGGAGAAAAGATTTACAACTTTGACACAAACAAGCAGTAGCTGTCTGTTCGATGTTCGAGTTTTCCTGCTTTCGATTTCGATAGCTCGTGACGCCCCAAGGCGGGAAGGCGGGGAACTCAAATGAACCGCTCAGGCACGTTTCACTCATTTAGGTTTTGATTTGGGGATGTCAGAGGGAAGCAGGAACGAGTCAACACATTCATCCATACAGCAATAATTTGTTTATTTCCTGCCGTCATCTGCTGCCCGTCTACTGGTACGGGTCGTAGTTGGTGGTCTTGATGATCCAGGCGAGGTAGCTGCCCAGGCGGGTGAACACTCCGGGCTTTCTGCCGCAACCGTCGGCGGGCACCATGGTGGCCAGGCCGACGACTCTGTTCTTCCTGATCAAGGGGGCTCCGGCATCGCCCTGCAAAATTAATTGGAAAGCATGTTGAAACAAAAAGAAAAGTTAGTGAAATATTTGGGTTCAGACTTTTCGCTTCGAGTCCTACACTGCAAGGGGCGCCGTGGATCAGGCCTCCGGAGCAGACGTGCTTCTTCGAGATGTGCTTGTCCGGGTGGAACACGGAGCAGAACAAGTTGGGCCACACGTACGTGTCCACCTGGAGCAGCGCTGGCGCCCTCTCGCCGGTAGCTGCCAACATTTTTGCGGGTTCAAACACCGACATCGAGATGATTTGAGCGATTAAAATACTTGTGGTCTCGCTTTCTGCTTACGTTCTCTTGGCGGACCGTAACCCCAAGCGGTCAAGCTGACCCCGGACGCGACGTAGCTGTCCTCGGCGTTTTCAATGCTGGGCAGGGTGGCCGCAGTCAACTCTAGAAATGATTGGCGTTGGAAAAACAAGCCAGAACCAACACGAGCTCACTGTAATCAAACATTTGCACACGCGACTGACTGTTGTTGGCGTTGAAGGCGGTGGTGATGCCGTCCGCGGTGATGATGGCCAGGTCGCTGCTCTGCAGGGCCGAGGTCAGGAAGTCGGGGTGGATCACCATGTCCGCCATGGTGACGCCCGCCAAGTCGGGCACCGAGTCCACGCGGATGTTTTCGGGGCGCAGGTAGACGTTGCAGGAAGTGGCCCTGCCTCCGAGAAGAACAAGGTGTCGTGGATCAGAAACAAAACACCGCCGCTGTCGACACCGGTGCACAGTGGGCCAGAAGACCGCGGTGGAGGTGGCCAACATTCTAGACGCGTTTTGAGCTCCAGAGTCGCTAATCAGGGCTCAAACCGAACGTGTGACCACGCCAATGGATTGCTCTCCAAGCGAGGAATCCATTGGTGGGGTCACACGCTCGGTTCGAGTCCTGTGGAGCTGGAGTTTTAGCCGCCTCCGCCGGCCTTTAGGTCCACTGTGCGGCGTGGCGCGTTGCTACAGGTGCAGGCACTCACGGCACGACGCAGCTGGCGGCGGTCAGGATGAAGTACTTGTCGACGTAGGTCGTGCCGTTGAGCGCGCTGCCCTTGATGACGACGCCGGAGCACACGCCCAGCGACACGCCGTCGGCCAGGGGCTGGATGGCGGCCTGGAAGCCCAGCGTGTTGGGGTCCGTCACGACGTCGCCGGCGTCCATCTGCAGCGTGCCGCGTGCCGCGAGGGCCAGCAGCAGGACGGTGACGAGGGTCATGTTGAGGAGCAGGTCGAGCAGGCTGCAGCAGTCCCGGCCGAGCGTGGCGCGGGAATAATGGCGTTCAAGAACCCAGAGCAACCTCCGCGTTATCGAGCCGCCTGATAGAGAGGGAGTTTCGCGTTTCGCGATCGGCTGCAATCAGGACTTGCGTGCCTCTTGACTGCTCTTGAGTGCGCTAAGCTCGCGGGCTGCGTTAGTGCGGCCCTTTCAAGACACGGCTCTTTTCCTGATTGCCTGCCCTCGCTTTGAAGGCGCTCGCATGCCGCCCGGGCCCGCGCCGCTACGCCAGCAACGCCCTGTCCCGCCCTAGCCTCTCGGAAGGCCTCGGACAGACCCCTGAAAGCGACGCGCCGCCACAGGCCCATTCCGAGCACTGCTCTGCCTCTCTCGCACTCTTGGGGCGTCCCGCAGGGTGCGAGAGAGACAGCGGCAAGTGTTCTCCCGTTCTTCCTTGTTTTTGATTTTCAAAAAGGATCGAAGGAATTCCAGAGCAGGATAACAAAAGATCGGAGACATTGGTTTTCTCAATAATTTTATTTTTCGTTTCGACTGCGTCGCTACACTGCCGACCGGCCGACCGCCTAGTCGTCGGGGTTGTAGTTGGTGACCTGCATGATCCAGGTGAGGTAGTTGCCCAGGCGGGTGAAGACGCCGGGCTTGCTGTGCTGGCAGCCGCTGGCGGGCACCAGGGTGGCCAGGCCGATGACGCGGTTGCCGTTGTTGCCGCGGTGGATCAGTGGTGCTCCAGCGTCACCCTGCAACCAAGGGCGCGTGCCGCATGAGTAAACTACAGAATCACGCCACACAGTGGGCCAGAAGACCGGCGGAGGCAGCCAAAACTCTAGACGCGTTTTGAGCTGCAGATTCGCAATACAGGACTCGAACCGAGCCTGTGACCCCAGAGATTGCTCTCTGGACGAGGAATCCATTGGTGGGGTCACAAGTTCGATTAGAGTCCCGTTTAGCGACTCTGGAGCTCAAAACGCGTTCGGTATTCTGACAGCCTGCACCGGTCTTCCGGCCAACTTGCAGCCGCACTGCGAAATGTCGGCTTCACTCACAGTGCAGGGGCCCTTGTTGATGAGGCCGCCGGTGCAGATGTGCTTGCTGGACACGGGCTTGCCGAAGTTGATGACGGAGCAGTACCAGTTGGGCACCACCCTGGAGTTCAGCTGGCGGAGGCGAGGAGAGACGCCGCCGAAGGCTGTCGAACGAAAAGCAAAAATCGCTCGGGTTCAAATACTGCAAGGCGGCACTTTCTATTTCCAGGTTTGGGCGAGGGTTTGGGTGGGTTCGGGTTCGGGTTCGGGTTCGGGTTCGGGTTCGGGTTCGGGTTCGGGTTCGGGTTTGGGTTCGGGTTCGGGTTCGGGTCCAACTTACAGTCGTAGGGGTAGCCCCAGCCGGCCATGTTGACGCTGTTGGTGAGGTAGCTGTTGGCGGAGGTGCTGATGGAGGGCAGCGAGGCGGAGGTGAGCCCTGCGAAGCGACAGGCAACCGTCAGATTCCGAGCACTGATTGTGTCGCCGGCTCTCGCACCCTTACGGGACGACCCGTGAGTGCGAGGGAGGCAGAACGTACTTCGAGACGCTGGAGCTCAAAGCAACCGCTCTGGCCCACTGTGGCCTGGGGACTCACTCTTGCCACTGTTGACGTTCTCGTAGAAGGTGGTGATGGCGTCGGCGCTGATGATGGCCAAGTCACTCTTCTGCATGCCGCTGGTCAGGGCCTCGGGGTGGAACGTCACGTCGGCGCGGGTGATGCCGGCGATGTCGGGGGTGGTGACGCCGCGCACCTCGTTGGTGCCCAGGTACAGGTCGTAGGTCACGCCACTGCCAAACAGACACTCCGTTCAGTTTCACCCGTCTCTTGAAAAATTCTTGACGCGTTTTCGAGCTTTAGAGTCACGAAGCAGGACTCGAGCGGAGCGTGTGACCCCACCAATGGATTCTTCATTCGGAGATCATTTCATTGGTGGAGTCACACATTCGGTTCGTGCCCTGTTCAGCGACTCAGGACCTCAAAACCCGTCCGGGATTTTGACCGCCTCCACCGGTGTTCTGGCCCTCCGGCCCCCGGTGGTGCACCGTTGTACTTACGAGAGCAGGCAGGTGGCGGAGGTCAGGATGTAGTACTTGTCGGCGTAGACGGGCGGGGTGGCGGTGTTGAGCGCGCTGCCCTGGATGATGACGCCGGAGCACAGGTTGAGGCCCACGGCGGTGCCGCCCTGCGTGATGCGGGGCTGGATGGCCGCCTGGAAGCTGTAGGTGGAGGCGTCCGACACCACCTCGCCGCCAGACATGGCGTGGCCGCCGCGGGGCTGGGGGGCGACAAAAAGCGTCAGCTCCCTCTCTCTCTCTCTCTCTCTCTCTCTCTCTCTCTCTCTCTCTCTCTCTCTCTCTCTCTCTCTCTCTCTCTCTCTCTCTCTCTCTCTCTCTCTCTCTCTCTCTCTCTCTCTAACTCGCCAACGTGCCTTCATACTGTCACTATTTCAAAAAAAAAGTGAAACGACTAAAACTATCAGTTTTAATTATGTTGACTGTGTGCACGTTCTTAGTCGGTCCCACAAGACGACGGCAATCAATCAAATTTCACTAAATGTGAATAAACTGTTTTTGACACTCCGGTAAAACGAAAAAAACCAAAAAAAACACAAAACAAAAGTGTGGCGGCGTCCCTACCTGGGCCGCGATGGCCAGCAAGACGATGCAGGCGAGCTTGAGCATGGCGTTGCGGTGTCTCTCCGTCGAGTGACAACTGCCTATGTCCCGGCCGTGGGTTTCTTTATACTCGGCGACCGCCCAGCGTGGCGGGAGGGGAGGGGAGGGGAGGGGAGAGGGTTTATCAATTAGGGGAGTGTGCTCTAGACGCTCTAGATGCCCTAGGTGCAGTGCGGCACTTTCAAAATGAGAGCGCGCCTTGTTCTCGCCGTCTCCAGATTGGGATATCTGCGCGTCCTCCAATGCGGATGGTGACGTCACCGCGGTGCGTTCTGCGCGCCAAAGTGGCCAAAGTGGCCAAGGCGGCCCCAAGCTGCCCTAGAGGCGACCGCTGGCGACCGCTAGAGTCGGAAGGGCAGGGCGTGGCAGGGCGTGGCAGGGCGCGTCGGCTAGCTGTCCGGCCAGGTGCCCCACAATCCCACATAGACGCGACTATTTGGGGCGACCCCGCCGGACAACTCACCGGACGCGCCCTCCTGACTCAGCCGAAAAACCGGCAAAGATCGGGCGCCCCCTTTGCTTCCGAGCGGAAGGTTCTGGGTTCGAATCCAGAAGCAGCGAACTGAACAATTTGTTTTCTGACTGGGACTGGCTGCAGGCTGAAGCCATTCGTTTCCTCCATTTTAAAAACCTGATCAGAGAAAATTCGTCAGATTCCAAAGTGTCACTTTTGACAGCACTTTGTTCTTTTTTTAATCTTTATGAAAATGCAGTTTCATACATGCAACAGTGAGGAGAGTGTAAATGTTGAATCCGGTCTCCACGATGATCAGAAGAGTGAACCGAGGGAATGTTGACTCAGGTGGCACCGAGCACAGGTGTTTTGTTTCCAAGTTGTTTGATCATGTGCCTTTTGTGCACAGCCTTCTGAGAATTTTTTTTAGACAATTTTAAGGGGAAAATGAAATATTGAGTTAAACTCAGATGTCGATGAATAACGTGGTCCCTGATCAGAAGATTACAATGCTTTCTACAAATTCTGATTGTACTATACTGCCGTGGCTCTTCAAGGAAGGGACAGCTAATAGTCGCGTCTATGTGGGATTGTGGGGCACCTGATTGTAATGTTGGCTAGTTTGTTTAGCCTGACTGGTATGAATGGTACACGAGACTCAGCAATTGCGTCAAGCCTCCACAGTTAACTGTGCCTATCACCAATCAGAAACAGAACTCTAAAGCGTTTGGCCAGATGAATAAAATTTGTGTCACGGATTTCAAGGTTTGTTCTCTGATACACTGAGATGTTTGTAAGATGTGTATTTAGAACTGAATTCTAATTTAGTTTACTTCCTTGGACCTGGACAAGCGATAGTCACAGTACTTTTTTAAAACGTTTGTTTTGTGCTTCTCTCTCTCTCTCTCTCTCTCTCTCTCTCTCTCTCTCTCTCTCTCTCTCTCTCTCTCTCTCTCTCTCTCTCTCTCTCTCTCCCCCTTCCTTTTTTTTTTGCTTTTTGGTGATGCTTTGATACGGGTGGCGGTAGTCGCGCCTTGAGAATGTGGTGGCATGAAGGGTGGCATGAAGGGTGGCATGAACAAAATAGTTTTGGGACTTTGTTTTTACACATTTATTGATTTGTTGTCGTAAAACAGAAGTGTTCAAGAGCGCCGCCGACGGCGCCCCGGTTCCGCGCCTCTCCTAGTCGTCGGGGTTGTAGTTGGTGACCTGGATGATCCAGTTGAGGTAGTCGCCGATGCGGGTGAAGACGCCGGGCCTTCCCCTGTTGCAGCCGTTCCTGGGCGTGTGCGTGGCCAGGCCGATGACGACCCTGCCCCTGGTGGTGCTGCCGCTCGACGAGGTGCCCGAAGTCTCCGCGATCAGAGGAGCGCCAGAGTCGCCCTGAAAAGCGAAAAGTTTTCTTTTTCATGAACTTTCTCTCGATCGTCCAACAGGGTGTCGTTTGTCCGTCGACCCACCGTGCACGGCCCCTTGTTGGGCAGCCCCGCGGTGCAGACGTGGGTCCGCCTGATGGGCATGCTGAGGTGCCGGACGGCGCAGTACCAGTTCGGAACGACCCAGGAGCTGAGCGCCCGGAGCCGAGGGGAGTGGTCCAGGAAGACTGCAACAAAGACAATCACGAATCACGGCCCATGGTTCGCGTCCAAAGTCCCACGCACAGTGGGCCAGAAGGCCAATGGAGGCGACCAAAACTCTAAACGCGTTTTGGAGCCCTAGAGTTGCTAAATAGGACTGGAAACGAACGTGTGACCCCACCAATGGATTGCTCTCCGAACGAGGTATCCGTTGATGGGGTCACACGTTTGGATCGAATCCCATTCAGCGACTCTGGATTTGAACGCCGCCACCGGTCTTCTGGCCCACTGGGTGTCGCTCTCGTACCGTCGTTGGGGTAGCCCCAGCCGGCCATGGTGACGGAGTTGATGAGGTAGCTCTTGGTGGAGTCGGTGATGCTGCCCAGCGTGGCGGCCGTGATGGGGGCCGTGCCCGTGGTGGAGGGCACGATGGTGGTGGGGATGAGGGCCAGGTCCCCGGTCATGGACGTCTGCCGGAACTCCTCGTTGATGATGGCGGTGGTGGCGAGGACGCCGGCCTGAGACGCCGTCTGGGTGTTGAGGACGCTGATGCTGCCGGCGAAGAAGTCGTACGACGTGCCTCTGCGGACGAACGGACAAGAACCAAGTCAGAGACACGTTCCGTTCCTTCCCCGGGCGCGTCGTCGTATCCCCGAATCCCCCTTACGATTGGGCGCAGTGCGCGGAGGTGAGCACGTAGTACTGGTCGGTGGGGGCGGCGCCCGCCGTGGCCGCCGCGGTCTGGCCCCTGATGAGCACGCCCGAGCAGAAGGGCGCATTTGTCACCACGCTGTTGAGGGTGTACTTGGGCTGGATGCCGATCATGAAGCTGTACGTGTTGGTGTCCGTCACCACGTCGCCGCCGACCATGCGCAGGTCTGTGGCTGCATCACAGGGAAATCGGTTAGCCGGGGTCTCGCTGTGCGGTGGTGCGGAGGCCGAGGCGCTACTCACTGTCCACGTCGTTCTCCAGGTAGTTGTCTAGGTCGTCGTCGTCGGACCACGGCACCTGTCCAAAGCGCCGAGCAGGGGGTTTGGTTAGGTTCGTGAGCGCGGCAGCGGGCCCAGCCCGCAGCACGGTGAACGCCTGCCGGGTGGGCCAGCCCGCCGCACTCGGGTGCCTCCACTGCGAGGTGTGGCCTACCCCGCAGGCTGACTGGAGCGCCTGCCGGGTGGGCCAGCCCGCCGCACTCGGGTGCCTCCACTGCGAGGTGTGGCCTACCTCGCAGGCGGCGTCCTCCGCGTACTCACGTTGGCGGCGGCCGACAGCGCCGCGACGGCGAGGAGCAGGACCAGCTTGAGCATGGCGGGGGGCTGCGGGACTGCGGAGCGAGCGACTTCGGCGAGTGGTCACCCGGTGGATGGCCGTCGAGGGCCGGCCTGGACTTATATACGGCCAGGCCTCTATCTGGCACACTGGAGACGGCAGGGCGGGCAGGGCAGGCAGGGCGGCGTCGACCGGAAGGGCCACTGGGGCCGCTGGGGCGGGGCTGCGAGGGACGCGGCGAAACGCGGCACTGTCGGGGAAACCCTCATTTTCGACTGAGTGTTTCACCAATTTCAGCAAATGAATCCCAACTCATCCAAGAGCACCTTCCACGGAAGTATTTTTAGCCTTATGAAAGGTACAAAACTATGGTTTGCCATTAAGCGTAGCATTATTTCGCGAAGTGTTTTCTTTGTAGGCCTATGTATGCCCAAAGGGCTTAATAACGACAAACAACTTTCTCTGGGAGGCCCAAAACCGGCCGAAACCGGTATTAAGGTTTGAAGAGAGCGCAGGTGGAGGAAGTCTGTCAGTGCTCAAGGAGGCGCTGCAAGTGCACGTGCACACCTCACTGTGTTATGGCTTCCGCGTTCAAGTGGTTCGGTGACGCACCTCGGGGACAGCCGGCCTGGTGGGCCGAGCTAAATCAAAGGTTGCAAAAGCCGTGACTTGCTCAAAGCGCAGATGTGCAATGGCGTCTCGACCTGTGTAACGTCAGCGTCGCTTTGGTCAAGAGACTGAGGTGTCGTCTGAGATCAATTCAGCCGGTGTCCGTTCACACGTAAGTAAAGCGTTGTTATTTTTATTGTTTTTTTTTTGCAGAAGGATAATACAAGGGCCCTGACCGGATGTGCTATCTGCCCTAGGTCCGCAGGCCCGCACCCTCACCATTAGCTCTCGCCTTGCCTTGCCGAGAATGTCCGGTCCGATTCCGGACTGGATTCGGGCCGCGATGCCGCAATGCCGAGATAAGAGTGGACAGGACGCAGTGTGAGCTGGGTCATGGATGACGACTGGCCACAGCCATTCTTTTCTCCGACTTACGGTTTGTCCGACCTGGTTCTCGCCTGCCAACGACTATGGAGCGCGGCTGGTCAAGCAGGGTACTTGGAGACAGTTGTTCACACCTTACCGCTGTGGGGTTGGCAGTGACGTGCCTCTGTGATCCGTTTGATGCGTTTGCGTTTCATCCAAGTAGGAGCGTCAATGATGTGTGATGAAAGTTTCTCGTAAACCAAAAATTGACATAGAAACCACAGTTTTGGAAGTTTTATTTCAAGAGTCCTCGTTGAAAAACAACAACACGTACGGTCGTTTACAAGTAAAAAAGAATAAATACAAGCCTTATTTACATACACACCCTTCGACGCGAGACATGCACAACACTCACGATACGCGTATTCCCCCGAAATCACCCGACCAATTCACACAAATAAACACACAGAACAGAAACATCAGTCATTTGAAACAGATTCGTTCCGTCACAATTAGCAAATGGAGACCACTTGTCGCTTATTTGCGAACACATCATCACAATAATGGGCTGGATTATCTAATCTCTAATTGGCTAGAGGCCATGCAGAACACAACGGCGTGTGTTAAAGGAACCAGAACCAAACAATGCAGGCGGAAGGACGTCTCCTTTCGCGTTAGCTCAAAGCAATGTAACTGTATTATAAGGATGCCAGTGTCTCCGACGAGACAAGCGATGTCGCCGCGCGCCTCTCACTTCTCGCCGAACTTGGGCAGGAAGACGGAGTCCAGTGCCTTGCCGAACGCGTTGCCGACGGCGTCCACGGCCTTGTCGGCCTCGCCGATGGCTGTCTTGGCCTTGCCGGTCGCGGCCTCGGACGCCTTGCCCACGCCGCCCAGCACGGCGCCCATCTTCTCGCCGGCCGCGGTCCTGGCCTGGTCGGCCAGGTCTGCGGCGGCGGTGGCGGCGGCCCCCGCGCGCTCCGTGGCCGCCCCGAGGACGGCGCCGACGGCGTCGGTAGCGGCTGACCGCGCCGCGCTCGCCCTCTCTGCTGCGGCGCCGAGGGCGTCGCCCACCTTCTCGGAGGCGGTGGACACGGCGCCGCTCAGGGCCGCGCCGACCTTCTCCGTGGCCGCGGCCCGCGCGTCGCCGATGGCGGCGCCTGCCCTCTCCGCGGCAGCGCCCGCGGCACTCTTGGCCTCGCCCAGCACCACGCCGACCTTCTCGCTGGCGGCGCTCTTGGCGCTCTCGGCGGCGGCCTTGGCGTCCTCGATGGCCGAGCTCACTTTTTCGCTGGCAGCAGCCTTCACGTTCTCCGCAGCGGACTTGGCGTCGCTGACGGCGGTGCTGACTTTATCGGAGGCCGCCGCCTTGGCGTCGGACAGGGCGGTGCCGGCCTTCTCCGCGGTGGACTTGACCTCGCCGATGACGGCGCCGACGGTCTCCGTGGCGGTGGTTTTGGCGGACTCGGCGGCTGACTTGGCGCTGCCGATGGCGGAAGTCACCTTCTCGGTGGCGGCGGACTTGGCGTCGTTCAGGGCTGCTCCCGCCTTTCCAGCGGCGGACTTGGCCTCTCCGACGACCGCGCTGACCTTCTCGGTGGCGGCGGACTTGGCGTCGTTCAGGGCGGTGCCGGCCTTCTCCGCGGCCGTCTTCGCCTCCTCGACGGCTGCGCTAACTTTGTCGGCGGCTGCCGTCTTGGCGTCTCCGAGAGCCGAGCCCGCCTTGCCGGCTGCTGACTTGGCGTCCCCGAAGATGGAGCTGACCTTGTCGGTGGCGGCGGTCTTGGCTTCGCTGAGTCCGGCCCCCGCGCGCTCCGCCACCAGCATGGCCTCGCCGGCGAGCTGGCCGGTCTTCGCGCTGACGGAGGACTGCAGGCGCTCGTTCTCCCGGGACAGCGCCGACACCTTCTCGTCGTACTTGCCCTTGAGGTCCTGGAAGAGCTTCATCTGCGTTTCGTACTCCTCCTTGAGCTTGGCGTTCAGGGTGGCCTGCAACACAAGGAACGGCGAGTCAGGTGTGAGGTAGTGGCTGCCGATCGTCAGATCCGAAGACAGGGCGAGGCGGCGCGGCACGGCGCGGCACGGCGCGGCACGGCGCAGCCCCCTACAAGTGGGTTACCATCTAGGTTAGTGGAAATGGTTCAGTCAGTCAGGTATTAGGACGCGGCGGGGTGAAGCACGTGGGCGAAGGAAATACGGCACGGAGCCTCTGTGACCAGTTGAGTATGAACGACGACATTTTATAAGAACGGGTCAAACACACACTTAGGTTCTATAACAAAAGTTAGATCACAGCAACAACACAAGGAAGCATGCTGGTGGTGGATGCGCCTGCCGCCGCGCCTGAAGGCAGGCAGACCCGCCGACGGCGGAGTCGGTTGGGCGGCCTGCGCGACGGGCTGCCGCGGCAGGGCGGGCAGAGCATAGCGGTGGAGGAGAAGGGCGGGGAGGCGTGGGAGCGGCTACACAGGTCTCGAGGGAAGGACCTCGTTTTTAATCCAGTTTGCGGTTCTTTATTATTTCACTTTATTATTTTTGGGGGGTTTGGGACGGGGTTAGGTGCGGGCCGCTCGGGGCTGCGCCATGGCCGCGCCGATGCTGGCTCTGCTGCCCTACCGCCTTCTCCGCGCGCTGCGACATGAGCTGCTGCCGCTGCCGCTCGTCGGCCAGCTTGCCCTCCATGGAGCCCATGTCCTCCTGGAGGTGGGTCACCTCCATGTTCCGAATGTCCAGCAAGCTCTTGGTGATGGACTGCACCTCCTTGAGCGACGCCACCTGCAAGGCAACGGCGTGAGGAAGCGAGCGGGGACGACGCGCATCGTGGTGGTGGTCCGTTCACTACTCTGTAAGAGAACGACAGGCACGTGTGGGTGCCACTCCGGCCGGCCCCCTCGGCCCCCTCGGCCCGTGTCCCACGGCTAGGCAGCCCGATTGGCGACCGCGGCCGCCTCGGAGCGGCATTTGTAGCGGGAGGCGCCACCTAGCTCGGCCAGCACGCGCCCGTGCCGCCGAGCCGCCGTGACGCCGCGGGGAGTCCTGCTGATAGGCGCACTTGCGGTGCAGGGGCGGACGCGCTGACGCCAAGCTGAGGCTGATAACGGTGAGTGCCGCCAAGCCGCGCCGCGCCACGCCGCGGCATAGTGGCGGTGCTCGGGCCGCGGATGAGCTGGGGCAGCTATTGACACCGCGGGTCTCTAGCCGCACCGCGGGCGTCGGGCAGCGCGGGCGCCAGTGGCAGTGGCGGCGTCGCGGCGTCGCGGGGCCGGCGAGCGGCGAACCGGCGACCATTGGCCGGCCGGCCCGGGGAATTTGCACCGCCACTTCAAGTTCGCGAGGCCCCGCTCGTCAGCGGCCGGGGAAAGGGGGAGGGGGGGAGGCCTCGGAGATAACGAGCCGCCACGAAGAGCCACGTAAGCGCGGCCGCGGCGCGGCGTGGCGTCCGTCCGAAATGCGACACAACAACGTGGTTCTGAACCACCGTAGACCATGCCCGTCGAGAGGGGCGTCAAGGTGCAGGCGCGACGCGGTGGCGGGCGCGGGAGGCAGGGAGCGGGGGCGGGGGCCGCGCCGGCCTAGGCTGCTGGCCCTGCTGCCTGTCGGCCTGTCGGCCCGTCGGGCTGCACGCTCGGCTCCTCCACTCCTCATCGCTGTCCCCGTCGGTCCCCGTCGGTCCCCGTCGGTCTCGGACTCTTATCAGCGCAGCCGCCTGTTTAGCCAGTTGTCAAGTAACGGAGCCAACGGAGCCACGCGTAATTCGTAACTCTCTCGCAGCGTCGCAGCGCGGGCCAGCCGCGCAGAAACAACCCGGCCATGTCTGTGAGTACGCCCCTGCGGCCCGCACGCACACTGCGTGCCGTCCCTCCCCTCCCCCTCCACCAGCGGCAGGCCCGGCTGGGCCGGCGGGGTGCCGCGCCTGTGTCCCCCGTGGACACCGCAGGTGGCATACGGACGGGCCCCCTCCCGGACCGCGAACCGCCAACGGGGAGGGGGAGGAGAGGTACTTTTTCAACATGGCGGCGACGCTTTTTCGGCGGGAAGAACCAGCGCGCCCTTCGAGAGCACGTCGTCGCGGTCTTGGCCGCGGTCGCCGTCAGCCCGTGAGGCCGTCAGGCGATGGATGACTGACGGCCGATAGCGGCGGTGCGACGCGATCCGGAACGCGCTCGGTGTTGTTCGGCGGCGCGCGGACTTGGACTGCCCCGATGTCTTGACTGATCCTCGCCCCGTCCGCAGGGCGCGGTGGACTGCCGACGGCGCTCCCTCGCTGCAGTCGGGGACCTCCACGGACGCGATGCTGGGTACGGACCGTACGGGGCGCCGCGGCCCTCCTGGAGGAAGTGGTCGGTCATCATGTGCCCCGGCGAGGGCCGCGGCCCGCCCCGACCCTTGCAGCTGGCCGACCCCTCCGCCGTGTGCGGATGCACGTGTGGGAACACCCACCGCGCGCCGCGCCACCAACAGCAACAACAGCAACAACAGCAACAACAGTACCAACAGCTCCTACAGCGCGATCAGGTGAGAGCACGGCTAAAGCGACATCAGCCTCGCCTACCCAGGAAACAAACGCCCTGCAGTGGCTTAATCTAGGCCGGGCCTCGGGCTTTTACCTTGGCTGCCTCACTGCCTCACTGCCTCGGCCTGATAGTGCCGGCCTTTGGGTCGCCCGCCGCGGTGCTATCGCACCGTCTGCCGAGACGCGCTCCTCGGCTGCTAACCTAAACCGTTAAATCGTTGCAGGATGTTCGATTTCGAGAGCAGCACTACCGCCGGCCACCCCTACTCAGGGCCTTCTCGCAACATGAAGCGCCCCCCGAGCGGCCCGCCGCCGTGCCGCCCGCCGCGACGCCGCCGCCCGGGCCGCCACTCAGCGTGGCGCACTCGTGGACGTCCACCCTGAGGGTGCCGCCCCTCAAGCGCCACCTCACGCACACGGGGGCGTTCGCGCTGCCGCCGAGCGTCGACCCGTCCAGGACGCCGTCCAGGACGTCACCCGAGGAGCACGACTCCTGGATGCCCACGACGAGGAGGCTGCTACTGGAGCCGGCGCCGCACCGCGTGACGACGCAGGGCGTGCCGTACGGCGGCCCGGCGCTCCGGACGCCGCCGCCCACGCCGCCGCCGACGCCGAGGTCGTCCGCGTTCCGCCACGTCGCTTCGCCGGAGTACTTCTGCTCGGGGGAGATCGTGTACGAGCTGCGGCCCGGCCCCGTCCCCGGCGTGTCCTTCACGGTGCCCGTGTTCGGCAGCATGGTGGTGAGGTCGCCGCAGGAGGCGGGCTTCGGGCCTCAGCTGCCCAAAGGGGTCCTCTCCGGCGGCGTGCCGCCTCTGACGTCCACCGCGTTCCCCGGCAGCCTGCCCATCGGGCTCCCCGACGAGCCGCCCCTCGCCTCCAAGAAGAGCCTGCGCGTGCTACGCCCCGACGAACTGGAGCTGCGGAAACCAACCGTGGCCGCGCCGGCCCCGACACACGCCCCCGCCGGCGACCCGGGCGACGACGCCAAGAAAGGGGCCTTCACCGAGGTCGCGGACAAAGCGGGCTCTCCGGTGGCGCCTAGGGAGCCACAGGCGCCGCAGCCGGCGACCGAGGTGGACTCCAAGTCCAGCAAGCGGCAGTGGCTGCTGCGCGTCGTGAGGGAGAACTTCAACGAGCAGATCGGCACACTGGTGGAGCGCTTCGTGCGCCGGCCGCGCCACGACAAGAGCGTGCGCAGGGTGCCCGGCGTCGGCAGGAAGGTCAACATCAACCTGCAGGACTTCTGGAGGCGCAGCTCCGGCCAGGAACGCCACATGAAGGTACACTGCGTTCGGTTCATTTGCTGAATCCGTAGCACAGTGGACCAGAAGATCGGTGGAGGCGGCCAAAATTCCAGACGCTTTTTGAACTCCGGGGCCGCTGAATGGGACTCGAACCGAACGTGTGTCCCCACCAATGGATTGCTTTCCGAACGGGGAATCAATTGGTGGGGTCACACGTTCGGTTCGAGTCCTGTTCAGCGACTGTGGAGCTTAAAACGCGTCAATAGTTTTGGCCGCCTCCACCGGTCCTCTAGCACACTGTACCCCGTCAGCCACCTCTGAGAGGACGCTCCCTGTTTCAGACCAAGGACCTGCTGACGGTGTACACCGAGAGCCGCATGGACTGGAGGGCCTTCCAGAGGTGGCTGACCAAGGACCTGCAGTTCATGCCCTCCTGCGCCAAGCTCACCGCGCTGAGCCTCGACATCTACCAGCGGTACTGGAGCAAGGGCTGGGTGGACGACGAGGACGCCGACTCGCCCCCTTGACCTTCTGCTGCACTGTAAGCCCCGGTGGACTATTTGCAGCCGCGCGGGGACTTTCGAGTCCGACTGCCAATAGCGTCTTCAACTAGCAGACGGCGGCCCCGCAAGGCGTCGCAAGGTGACGATTCCTAGTTTTAAGCCGAGTTTTCCTCTTTTATATTTACGATAACTAGTCTTTAAGAAGTTCACCGAAACCAACCCGTTACCACGTTCGTCAACATGTACAAAATACAATTTGCTGTAAGTGAGAAAAATCGCCGTATCGGCTCAATAAATTGTTGTTGTTTTTTCGTTTGGTGCTGCGTCACTGACTCACCTGGTTCTGGAGGGCCTGGATCTGCTGGTCCTGCTTGGACGTCAGCTCTTCCCTCTCCTTCTTCTTCTCGCTCAGCTGGGCCACCTGGGCGGCGAGGTCGGCGCCTGGAAAATCCAGCGTTCGCGTCAGAGCATGACGACATACATCAAAAGTCCCCGCGCGCCGCGCGCCTGAGCAACTTTGTAATCTTTAGCTGGTAATCGGTTGTTTTGGAACCGATCAACCTCCGGGTTTTTCACTCACGTTTCGCATCGGCGTCCTTCAGGGCCTGCTTCGAGGTGGCCAGCTCTTTCTCCAGCTGCTGCAGGTGGTTCTTGTAGTTCTCGCGCTCCTCGGTGCGCAGCTGCAAAGGCAAACACAGAGCGATGACCAGTCCGTCCGTCCGTCCGTCCGTCCGCGGGCTGCGTCCACGTCACAATCGGAAACGATTGCACTGGTAAAATGAAGGCGAAACGTAGGCGGCTTTCATGTAGCGCATAGTCCACACGCCCTTCTAGACGTGCACACAAGCTCATGCACTCACTTCCTCCCCTGCATTTGGATAGGAGGAAGTGAGCGCATGAGCTTGTGTGCTCAATACCTTCATCTCCTTCGTATTTATAAAGCAGATGCTTCGTAGACTTTTCCGGTGTGCAAGAAGGGCGCAAGGCCTTATAGCGTAGTTGTGCGCTTGAATGAACTGCGCCTTTGTTTCACCAGAGTGCTTACCTGCAGCTCGCGCTCCAGCTTGGCGATGGTGTCCGTGAGGTCCTTGGCAGGCGCTGCCGGCGCCGCGGCGGGGACGGGGCCCTGCGCGGCCAGCACGGCGGCGGCCTCCTCCAGCTCGCGGACGCGCTGCTCTAGCTCGGCCTCGCGGCGCCGCAGCCGCTGCAGCTCCTCGTCAGTGCCGGCGGCTGCAGGCGCGGCGGCCACCGCGGCCGCGGGTGCTGCGGCAGCTGCATTGGCGCCGCCGTTCGCCCCGCGCTGCAAGCAAACACAGGGCATCAGCGTCCCGCCGATGTAGAGCCTTGCCGAGTTCGCGCGTCGCCAAGCTCAAGCTGAGGCCACTGCAGCAGGCTGCCCAGGTGAAGTCGAAGTCACCGTCACCACCTCAGCCTGAACGTCCTGTCCTGGTCCTGGCCAGGGGCTGCCGCTTCGAGTCCACGCCGTCGGCCGCGTCCAGGTGCTTGACTCACCCTGGCTGAGACAAAGCTGCGGTTCATGCTGGCGATCTAGCTCTAGGTCCACTGTCACACAGACTGCGCGCCACCCTCGGCCTGACCAACGCATAAATACGGACTAATAGTCTTGGGCGGCCCCCGCCTCCCCCACCTCCCCCGGCTGCATCCAGAGGAGGAGTAGGAGGAGGAAGAAGTGGACGGTGACAAACAAAAGAGGCCATCGGGGTGGCGTCTAATGGTCGTGCCCTGTCCCCCCGAGGCTGCCCCCTGGGCCGCCCCGCCGCAGAGCACGCCGTCGGAGAGTCAGTCAACGCCGTGATTCCGCGCGGATTATTTCGCTGCCGCCAATCTGGTGGCAGCCGGCAGCACCGTCCGCGCGACATCACGCTCACACCGGCGTGGCTAGAGCGGCTAGACGGGGTCGGCCACGGCCTCGCCGGGGTCAGCCCGCGTTGCGTCAGGCGATAGCGGCGCGGTTCGCGCGGCCGCCCCCGGCCAGCCCGCCCCCTGCACTTGTACTCCACCACCGCGGCGTCGTACTATGTACTGCGTCTCGGTTATCATCACGTGCTCGCGGCGCTGCATCGGCCCGCACCGCTCACGTGCAAGGCAGCACAGGGAGACTTATTCCCACAGTCGTTTCCGTCGCTCTGTCTCTCTCGCACTCATGGGGCGATTCGTACGGGTGCGAGAGAGACAGAGCGACGAGAACGACTCTCGGAATCAGTCTGCAGCGCGGCAACGTGACATCCTCGGCGACACCACCAGGATCGTCCGTCATGCCGGCGGGGTGACATAACGCCTTGACCTCCCACACACACACGCACACATGCCACACACACGTACACAAACACTAAAACTGCACACATCAGCAGCGGCACATAAAAGTCCAGACGCGTCGCCGGATGCGCGCGCAATTATTTGAAGAAGCAAGCGCCCCGCCCCGCGTGCAGGCAATGCGGTTTCGGCTTTTCGTATTTTTAGGCTCGTTTCGGCCTTTGGTTGGTGTTATGGCGCGGGACTCGGCCGGGCAGCGCGGCCTCTGCCCCGTTCATTGGCCGGCGGGGCACTGCAGGGAGCTCGAGGAGAACTCGCCGGAGCCGTCCCCTCTTGGCCTGCCGCCGGAAACTACCCGGAAACGGACCGCCACGGTCGCGACTTGCATCGATTTCGGTGTCGAACTGGCGCCGGACCGTGTGTCGAACCGACGTCCGTTCGACGGCGACGTGTCGATCGCGGCGTCGGAATGCGTGGCCGAGCCGCGGGGCGCGCGGCGCACCACTCATCTCTATTTTGGCGTTGGCGCCTTTTGGCCGTCGCCGGCCCCAGGGCGGCCCCAGGCTGCCCCCGCCCCGCCAGGCTCGCCGCCAGCCTAACTGCACGACGCACTTGGCCGCGGCCTGAAGCGCGAACAACGTGGAACAACGCCGACCCTCCATCCCTCTTCTGCGGCCGCAGCTGGACCGCCTGAAAGCCGCCGCAGACTGATTCCGAGAGCCGTTTTCGTCGCTCTGTCTCTCTCGCACTCATGGCGCCTCCCGTGGAGGTGCGAGAGAGACAGACGAAAGCGACTCTCGGGATCAGTCTGCTGAAAGCCTGGCGACGGACGAGTGGCATGTCTGTCTGAATGTGTCTGTCTGACTGTCCACGGGCATCGTAAAGCCATCTGGGGGGCGACATGCATCTACAGACTGATTCCCCACAGCGTTTCGTCGCGCTGTCTCTCTCGCACCCACGGGGCGTTCCATGGAGTGTGACAGAGCCAGGGCGAAACTGCATGCTGGAATCAGTGAGCTGGGGGTGCGGTATCTGCGTGCGACGTGCACATGCTAGTGCACCAGGCAGGTGATGCAACAAGTGGGGTGCGAAAGGGCGAGGCAGGGCTAGAGGCGGGCCGTGGTCTGAGACGAGTGAGTGTGAGAGAGAAAGTGAGGGCACTGCGCGAGGTGCAAGAGTGAGAGAGAGAGAAAGAGTGCTGGGCGCGGCGCGGCGTGGCGCGGCGTGGCGGGGCCCGCGGCTATTTCGGTGCGCGGCCGCGGAAGGGTTGCGTCCGCCGCGGCCCGCTGTCTCCGTCGGGCTCATTCCGAACACCTCTTTCGTCGCTCTGTCTCTCTCGCACCCGTACGGACCTCCCTGTGAGTGCGACAGAGACAAAGCACAGTCCGGACTGAGCCTGCTGCCCCCGACGGCCTGACGCGCGTGAGTGTGAATCACGGGACGTGCTCTGCTGCACGCGGAGCAAGGCGCACCGCGGCCGGGCCTTGCCCGCCGTGCCGGACAAGTGCTTTGTGCTGCAGACTGATTCCGAGAGCCTTATTCGTCGCTCTGTCTCTCTCGCACCCATCAGAACGCGCCGTTGGTGCGACAGAGACAGAGCGACGAAACCGACTTCCGCAATCAGGCTGCTGGACGCTGGGCGTTCCCTCCGCCACCATCGGGCTGCGTGAGTTGGGTGTGTTTTGGAAATTTGCAGAAAGCAAAACCACTCCAGAAGTAAAGTTCCCAGCACTGCAGCGTAAAAAGAAACATAACTGAAAAATCAAAATGGGGAAAAAAAACACTGCTCTCTTTATCTCTCTTTAAATATACGAAACTCGCACACTCAAGCGGATCATGCAGCTCGGCCATAAAAGCGGAAATAAACTCCTCGTTTAATGCTTTCGATTGTGCGTCACGAAAAAATTGATTAGCCGATTAGCTGAGCCGCGAAACGCGCTACGCCACTGATAAGAGTTCGCCGAAGCCGGCCGGCCATCGCGCAGCACGCACTCCAGTGGCAGCCAGCGGCACCGCGCAATCGGACCCCAAACTGGAGTGAAGCGAGTCGTGGCCGTTCACCTGACCATGCAGGCCGCCATGCAGGCCGCCATGCAGGCCGCCATGCAGGCCGCCGGCCACAAGCTGGGCCGGCCAGCCACGCGCCGGCGAGCAGCGGGTACAGCTCCCCGGAAGTCGCAGCCCGTCAGGGACGCGAGCAACGGCAATACAGTAAGTCCCGAGAACCGCGCCAACTCGCCCAGGTGCACCGGGCGTGCGTGCGGAACTGTTTCAGGAAATGGGGTGAAGAGTCCCGACGTCGGGTTCAAACGGCAAAGTCTCATTGTGAGCCGGTGCTTTGTAAAAAGCCTGAGGCGTTGTTTGGGGGTTTCAAAACTGCGTGTCCCAGTCGGGGTTTGACTCCGGGGAGCTTGCGGGTGGACCTGCCCCGCAGCACAGCGCTTAGCGATCAGCTTCCAGCACCCAGCCACAGCCTCAGCCACAGCCACCGCCTCAGCCACAGCCACCGCCTCAGCCACAGCCTCCAGCCCCGCGCTAGACTCCAGCCGTGCGCCCTTTGCTGTACCTCCCGCGCCCGCTTCTCCTTCTCCTTCTCCTTGCCGCCGCCGGCGCCGTCCCCGTCCCGCTCCCCGTCCGCCCCCGGACGCCGCCTCCGCCGCAGCGCACTCACCAGGAGGCTCTCCTTGAGGTAGTTGAACATGGCTTGGACGTGCACAGTGTGCACACGCACGGACACGCGCGCACGCGGACGCGCCCTACCGCACTGACGCACGCACCCACCGACTGGACAGACTGGACAGCCCGGACGGTCTGGACCGAGGTCTGGACAGGCACCACGGCGACGCACGCTGCCGCACGCTGCACTGCAAGCGACGCAGGCCGAGACGGAGACGCAGGCTGATGCAGGCGGCACGGCACGCGAATCGCACACAGGCCTCCCCTCGCAGAGACTGAATGTGGACCGCGCCGCGCCCCGGCGGCCCCAGGGCAGCCCCGCCGCGGGCAGGCACGGCACGGCACGGCACACACGGCACGGCACACACGGCGGCGCTGGCCCCCGCAGCGGCAGCGCGGCAGCGGCCCGCGAGTGCTGCCGACGCGACCGCGGCCACGGCGTGCCGCGGCGCCAAGCCGCGCCAAGACAGCATTCCCCGGGCAGCACTAGTCGCGGATGGTCGCGGTGCCAAAAGGGTGGTGCGTCGCGCGGCGCGGCCAGCCTGCGACGTGAGACGAGAAGCGGTCCGTGCTGAGGGCCTTGTTGCAGGTGGAGAGCGGAGCGCGGCAGCACCCCTTGGGGTTGCCGCTGGGCCCCAGAGTTGCTGTGTGGTGTCATTGTGGGGCGTGGGGCTCCAATGGGGCCCTGCACCGCCTGCCTCGGGATCGGCCAGCCTCGGCTCGGCCACGATCGAACAGCGCCGAGCCTGCTCTTGTATCGTGCCGCGGCCCGCCATGTGGGCCCTGCCTTCCCATGTGGTTCGCGTCCTCCCCGCGCCGCGGGTCTGCCAGCACGGCCTGCACGGCCTGCACGGCGCACCGGGTCTTCAAGACCGGCGCCGCGGAGGCCGCGGCCGCGGACCGGACCGCCACTTCTCTCTCGCGCTATTCTCGGCGCACCCCCTCCCTCCCCCTCCCCCTCGAGCTCCCGCGGCCCCCGCATGGCCCCGGGGGAGACGAAGGGTCCGCAGAGATACGCCAAAACGCCGCAGAACGGCCTTGGGGTGACGTCACCGCGTTCTGTCGCTCTCCCGGCGACGCAGAAAACAATGTCTGTCGAGGCGAGATGGCGGTAACATTTAACTCGGCGAATCCTTTCGGCGAGACAGAGCTTGCCCGTTGGCCCTGCGGCCCTGCGGCCCTGCGCCGCTCGCAAAGGTCACATTTCTGGGCGGCTGAGGACTGGCTGAACTTTGGCGCGGCTCTCGAGTCATGAACTTGGCGCGGCAGCCCTTCGCCCGTTCGCTTCGGCACCTTCGGCACTCCGCCACGCTGGGTTGGGGCGCAGCGCACCACTAGCAACAACTAAACCAAATTATTTCTTGAAATGAAAACCCGGGTTCCGTTCCGCTGGGTAATCGTGTTGGTCTTTGCAACAATAGGAGTCTTGAGGGAGAAACTTTCCGAGCCGGGCAAGTCCGCTGTCCGTCCCGCGCCGCATTTCAAACCCAGCTCCTGGTGGCGCGCGAGGCGCGGCAGCGCGCTAGTTCGCCGCGGCGCCGCGAGAGGCGCTGCCGTCGGCGCCGTCGGCCTGGCAGCGCGAGCAGCGCGACGCGTCACGTCCTTGATCCTTGGGAGAAGGCGGTGGCTCGCTGTTGCTGCGAGTGCACTGCGAGTGTTGAATCCATCTCCTCGGTGATGTGATTGTGTTTTCGTGTGCCCTTATTTCGAGCGTGTCCAGTGTCCGTGCACCATGTCGCGACAAAACGACAGAGGAAGCTACGCCCAGTCGTACAAGCTGGTCGTGGTGGGGGGCGGAGGCGTCGGCAAATCGGCGATCACCATTCAATTCATTCAGGTAGGCCTCTGCTCACGCGAAGCCCAGGTAGACGGAGGCCTCGCCCCCTGGCTGGCCCTGGCTGGCCCTGGCGCCGTGACAGGTGTGAGGTCCCGGCCGTGACGGCCTCGCCACGGCCCCGTCACGGCCTCGGCGGCCACGACGGCCGTCTCGGGGAGGCCGAAGGGAGGCAAGCAGCCCGTTTGGAGTTGGGCTGGCGGGGGCTGCCGCGGGAAATGGGTGGCCATAACCTCCAGGGAGTGACAGGCGCAGCTACAGCAGCTACATGTACAGTGGGGGTGCAGGTGTTTACATCACCGCCTAGCTGTTCAAGAGGGTGCTGGTGTTGGGAGCGTCTGCAGTTTCTATGAGAGGAGGCAGGACGGACGATACCGTTTTGAGTAAGTCGGATAGTAATAAACCTGGGACTTGCTCCAGAAAGTAAGGACATTTTTATTAACTTTTTTTGGTAGGCAAGTAAAGATATTCAGGATTATTTGCCTCTGATTTATTACAAAAATTTTGTTCTGCAATTTTGAACTTTTCCTAATGAATGACTGTGGCGGCAACGGGGGAAAACCACCCCGTCACTTGTGTCACAACGTCACAAAAATTGTGATCTTTTCATATTTTTTTTTTTGTTAAGGTTTTGCATTTTGTCATTTTTCCAATTATTGATGGCACTGATCGCCCCGGTGGCTTTCGGCATCGCTGGCGCTGGCTGGCGCTGGGCCTCACACCTCGTGGTCCATCTTTGGGGGCCACGTGTTCCTCCTGCTTGGCTATCGGCCGCGCGCCACGCGATTCGAGAGCTGGAGGGAAATCACAACACGGGCTCCTTATTTGGGGGCCTCGCATGTCTAGCGTCTAGCGCGTCTAGCGCGTCTAGCGCGTCTAGCCCGCTCCGCTCCCAGTCCCTCAAGGCTGCTCGGCCATAGTTCGGTCGCCGTCGCCGCTGCCGTCGTTCGGATGCCCGGCGTCTTCCGAACCGAAAATCGGTTCCGCTCGACGACGACGGCCGAGCTCTGTCTCTCTCGCACTCATGGGGCGTCCCGCAAGGGTGCGAGAGAGACAGAGCGACAAGCAGTGCTCGGAATGAGCCTGACGGTGTGGGCCCGAACGACGTAGTTACCCGCCACGCCGGTGCATGCGTTCGGCCGGTGCGGCGTTCCGCTGCCGAGCCTTGCGTGCTTCTCTCTCTCTCTCTCTTTCGCTCGCCCAGGAACGCCCGCGCCTTTTCCTCGTGGCGTGGCGTGGCGCGGCTGGCCCCAATACCGCCACCAGTGTGCCTCCTACTTGGTACGGCGGCTGCCGGCCGCAGCAGCCGCAGCAGCGCCGCCCAGGACGAGCGTGGGCGTCACAGAGGCTGTCGCGACGTCCCGCCGTCCCGCCGCCGTCCCGCTGCAGCACGCTGTAGTCAAGGGTGTGGGCCGGGGTGGGGGAGGAGGGCAGGGCGGGAGGAGGAGTGGCGGTGACGGCGACGACGGTGGCGGCTAGCTCAAATTCTGAAATAAAAATGGCAGAGCGGGAGGGAAGTCCAGGCGTCTCACCGCCAGTCTCGTTGCGCTGTTCCAGAGCTACTTCGTCACGGACTACGACCCCACCATCGAGGACTCGTACACCAAGCAGTGCGTCATCGATGACATCCCCGCCAAGCTGGACAGTGAGTTGACGGCCTGCTCGGCGAGGCTCTGCGCGGCTCGGCGCGGCTCGGCGCGGCTCGGCGCCGGGAGGGTAGGCAAGCGCGGAGCTGTGCGGCACCCGTGCGCGACGGGCTTGCCTACCTCGGCATCGGCAGGCGTTTGGCCGCGTTTGGCGCTCCCCGCTCTCCCCGCTCCGGCTGGGAGTGGGCGGCGTGGGCTTCTGTGCGCGCCCTCAAATGAAAATCCATTCCGTCTCGTGTCGAGGCTTCCCATTAGCACGCATTAGCCTATGTATTTGCCCGCTTCATTGTCGCCATGCCTGCCTCGTTTCAGTCCTGGACACCGCGGGTCAGGAGGAGTTCAGCGCCATGAGAGAGCAGTACATGCGGTCCGGCGAGGGCTTCCTGCTCGTCTTCTCCGTGACGGACCGCGGCGGCCTGGACGAGATGTTCAAATACCACCGGCAGATCCTCCGCGTCAAGGACAGGGACGAGTTCCCAATGCTCATGGTGGGCAACAAAGTGGACCTGGAGCACCAGCGGCAGGTAAGTGTGCTAACCCTAACTTCTTTCCCTCTTGCATCTCCTGCAGACTGATTCCGGGACTTGTTTTTCTTCGCTCCGTCTCCCTCGCACCCGGTACGGTACGCCCCATGAGTGCGAGAGAGACACAGCGACGGAAGCAACACTCGGAATCAGTCCGCTGCGGTTCAGGTGATAAGAGTCTAATTAAACTTTTTTCTTACACAGGTGTCTCGATTCGATGCTCAAAACGCCTCCACACAGCTCAAGATCCCATACATTGAGTGCAGCGCCAAGCAACGCATGAATGTGGATCAAGCCTTCCATGAATTAGTACGAATTGTACGTAAGTTCCAGGCTTCTGAAAGACCGCCACTGAAGCCTACCTCGAGTAATAAGAAGCGCAAGTGCTGTATCCTCTAGGTGCTCTTTAGTGTCCTCTGTTTTTCATGCAGGTTCGTTATTAATTATGGCAATCTGTCCTTTTGTAAAAAAAAATACTTGTGGTTTTGCTATTTTAAAACGAAGAAAATAGAAAAGACTTGCGCACACTTCTAAAAAGTTGTGAAGCCTTAATTATCCCAATGTTTTTTGGTGTTGTTTTTATGAGCATAGTCTGTGGTCAGTTAGTTTTCTGTATTAGTTCTCAGGTTATTTATGTCTCTTAAAAGCAACACTAGACCTTAAAGCTTTAATAAATGTTAGCATGGAGGACCTTACACCTCATGCATAGCCATGTTTTAATGTGCTGTTACTTGTCAACTATGTAGGGGCTAATGTAGGTAATTTTCAGTATTTTTTTCTGATGGAGATTGAATTATACTAAGAGGAGCTTCATAACATTTTAAATGTACAGCAAACTAAGAGATTGTAGCCTATGTAACAATGTGTGACTGTTATGTGCTACCAGATTGATTCAATGGTAACCAGCCGGTAAATTTACAAAATGACATTCCACGGTGCTCCCTTGTGTTTGGATGGACCCTGACACTACGGAATTTAACAAGTGCTGTTCGAGCTGTTTTCTGAGCATTTGTCCTGCCATTCAACACCAAAATTATTTTAGTTACTGCTGCTATTCATTCATTTTAAGTTCATGTGGTCCTGTTTAAGAAACAGCCATTGCTGGCTGTATGCTGCTATGCCTCTGCTGTTCAATGTAGTGCTTTGTTTGACTGATACTATCGGATCCTGGGACTCAGACCTTTTATACATTATTTGTGCATTGAATTTGCTGGACACAATTGCAGAATAACTATGTAGAGTGATGAACCCTGTCTTGCAGTCATATACTTGTTAATTTCACTGAATGTTTTCGGGGTGAAAGAATAGTTTCACCCAGTGTCATCCTAAAGGAAACTAAAGACTTAACAATGAGGCCAGTTGGGATGGTGCTTTTATTTATTGTGAAGAAGTGGTTGGATTTTAGTCATATAAAATTATATCATGGAAGGTGAACTATTTATCAGGCTTACATGTTATCATACAATGTTAATTAGAGTTGATGCGTTTTCATATCTAAATATTTTTTGTGAAAAGATATTACCAAAGCAGTTTCTTATGGCTTTATAACTTGACTGCATTTAGACCTGATAATTAGTTCTTCCTTCTTTCAACTGCCATGTTTTTGATAGTGATAGTTCTATTTTTTTTTTCATGATATCGACTGTTGCACCAGAACTCATGCTGTATTTTTCCTAGAAATTGACCTAAAGCTATTTTCATACCTCATCCCGCTTGTGTGTGAGGAAGTTGCATGTTTTACTTTCTAAACACTGTTTCATGAGATGAAAATGTTCAAAATCATATCATAGACTGTGATGTTGCCCTGTTAATGCTGCAGAAGAGCTAAGCTGTGCATGTTTATGGTGTTTGTTCAACATAATTCTTTGAGAAATTGGAAGATGCCTCGTGACTCCTACAGTTATACCTCACTCTATTGGACGTTGATTTGTCTTCTTCTAATGTGTAAATTGAATGTTGGTGCGCATCTTAAAAATATTTGTGCTATTTTTGTAACACTTTTAAAGAGTTTGACAGTGTTAAAAGAAATTGGGTTATTTCCTGTTTTATTTTTATGTCAAGTCTATGAATTATTTTATTGTATTGTTACTAAATAACCATAATTTTAACTGTTTTATTGAAGTAAAGACTTCCACATGGTCAATTACTAAGTTATTTTATGCCTTGTGAGTTTTTAATGTACTAAGTCCATGTTGGTGCTAAAATTTTGACATAAATTTTGTGATAATGCATAACAAATCAAATCAATTGTCAATTACTTATTTTAAGGATAGTCAACTCAAAACAAGCAGGACCTTTTTGATACCGTTTTATTTTTTGTCTTGCCTATACTTGCACAAATTCAATTGCGAGAAACGAATAAGCATGCTATGTTTTTGTTTTTTATTTCATAGGTAGTCTGCTGTGTTCTACGCTATTCGTATACATGCATGTTCTGCTTTCGGAACATTACTCTACCCATCAATTCTAGTTTTGCAATCTTGCTGTGTGTGCTCTAGACAAGTGGCCAGTATTCAGAGTCTAGATGTAAATGGGGTAAAACTATTCCTGCATTCAGGAAAGTTTTGTTGGTCTTGAAATTTTATTCTCGTGTCATATTTGATTGTTCCTAACTTATAATTTGATGACGCACAACTTTTGTAAGCTTTGTGCCTTATACATATAGGCTTGCTTCCAATTCATGTAGACATTACGTTTTGATGTGTGTACGTCGCATTAATGTTGTTATCATCTCAGGACATATTTTTGTGTTTGAAAGATGGCATCTCAGTAATTTGTTTTAAGCTTGAGCTTTTATATTAACTTATTAATTTAAACATTATTTGTGTTAAGGAGGTAGATGCTGATAAAGAGTTATATTTTTTAAAAATTGCTTTATTAACTTTGTATTTGTGATACAGTTTTACTTGAAGACACCTTGTACTGACTGTCCAACAGTGTTCACCAGTGTTCAATGGTTATCTTTGAACACTTGCTGTTTATATCTCTCTATTGACTGACAACTTCGTCGTCATTCGAATGACAAGATCTTGTCAACACAGTACTGTACTTAACAAAATGTGGAATGTTTTCCGAGTTTTTTGCTCTTGCCAGGGTGCTTTACCCATTAATGTCACAAATCTGAAGCATTTTGTTGTGTGCCACAATATTGTTGCAAGCTAATTGTTGTGTACTGCAGTACTTATCAAGTCACCAAACTGAAATTAAAACCTTGATTGTTTAACATTTCATGACATGTTCTACTTTTTTTTCCCCTCCCTCCGTCCAATCTCGGCCGGGCCCGCCCAGTGTTTGGTGTTTGCCTTTCCACTTTGCTCTGCCGGTTCGGGTTGGAGACAGAGCCAACGTGTCGCGTCGCGGAGATGAGGGCCCGAGGCCGAGGCCGCGAAGCGATCGAGCCTTTGGCGTTTTCCGGGCTTTCCCGACCGCACCATGCCATCCACGCCCCAGCCGCCCCGCCCCACCCTGCCCACCAGCCCTTTGTCACCGGCACCTGCAGAAAAACAAAAGGCAAGGAAAACACTGCGCGGCGCAGCGCGTCGACGCTATGACTTTTGATTTCGGTGCCTGGCTGCTCGCGGACTTCCCTGCGCTTCCCTGTCGTTTGGGGCGTGTTCCGCGCGCCCAAGGCGCAGCCGGGCGCAGACCAAGACGCCCCAGACGAGAACCATCCGGTTTAGCGGGCGGAGGCGGAGCGGCGGAGCGAGGGGAAACACGGCCGCGGGGAAGGGCTGACGGGCTGGGACCGCCCCTCGACCCTCGACCCTCGACGACGTGCAAGGTGTGCAAGTAGGCAACCAGTGCAAGGAGCGGCGGCCACCACCAGCGGGCTGATTCCGAACAGTGCTCTCGTCGATCTGTCTCCCTCGCACTCACGGGGCAGAGCCGGGCAGAGCGACGACGCACCTCGGCCAGAGCGCACTGCCCACCGCCCCGTGCACTGCAAGCCAAAGGGGGCGCGGACCCGAGCGCGGACGAACTGAGGAGACCAGCAGTGAACAACACGGACGGTTGGCCTGGCGGCGCCTGGCGGGTGGCCCGGCCGGCCGGTACCGCCGGAACCACTCCTTGGCGAACTCGAACTCGAAACGAGACTTGGCGGTGCGGGTGCGCCGGCCGGCTGGAGGGCCGGTTGGGCCCCTCGATTGCCTGCGTGCCTGCCTGCCTGCCCGGGCCCTCCCTGCGCCGCGCTGAAGAGCGGAAGAGTCCGGCGAAGAGTGGTCTGCGTCGGTGACGCACGCGCGCCGACGCTTCGCCAAACCCCAACAGCGGCGCGGCGGGCGGTCCCGGTGTACCGCTGCCCTCGGTCCAGAGAGAGGTCCTCGTCGAGCATGTCCGGAAGAGCTCGATCCTGGACGGAGGGACGCGCGTGCTACGCAGCGCTGCGGGCAAGGGGTGCGAAAGGGGTGGCGAGCGAGCTTGGCACCGGCCGGGCCGCCGCTTCGTCGACGGGAACTACTCCACGTTCACGCACAAGGTCAGGTCAACCAGCTCCAACTACTCCGGTACGCCCCGCCCCGCCCCGCGAGGTCCACGGGCGGGGCGGGGCGGGGGCCGCCGGGGCTGGTTGCGGCTTGGCTCCGCGCCGCTCCGCGCTCCGCGGCGGGAGATGGCGGGAGAGGGAAGGCGAGGTGCGGCTGGCCGGCCGACGGGCACCGGGACGGGCACCGGGACGGGGCGGCTGGCTTTGCCTCCGCCTGCTTTGTCGCAGTCGCCTCGCCAGTTCACGCCGAGTCGTCCTAGAAGCAAGTCCATCATGAAGCTGGAGCTGCTACTCGCCGTCGTCTTCCTCTCCGGTGAGTCGACTCCCGCGCCGCCGCACCGCGCGCCGTCGACGTGCTGCCAGTGTCGTGACCCCAGCCAGTGGATCGCGAGCGCGGCGTGCCGCGTAGAGCTCGAAACGAACCGACGCTCGTTCTGTATGGCTTGGCCTGTACTGCTGTGCTAGTTGGCTCTGTTGTTTCTGGGGGGAACGCCAGGGGATTTATGCAAGCGAGTGTACTTTATGTTCCTCGTTCGTTACTTTTCCTCCCACCGACCGGGCCGGGCGCGCGGTCGAGCGCTCTTTGACAACTCGTTCGTGTGATTACAAATACACTTCGCATACATCCACACACAGACGCACAGCCAGCCAGACAAACAAACGCGCGCACACACACACGCACGCAGTCTGACAGACAGTCCGCGCCGGGCCCAGGCCGGCGACTCGGCTCCACAGTCCACCGCTCGGCTCGCTCTTCGCTTCTGCTTCTGGTCCAGAAGAATTCCCCGGAGGATTACGGCTGCTGCAGACTGATTCCGAGTGTCGTTTTTGTAGCTCTGTCTCTCTCGCACTCATAGAGCATCTCGTGTAGGTGCGAGAGAGACAGAACGAGTCAGTCAGCAGAAGCGCCTCGCCTGGCGTTCTGGAGTGGGGATCATCGTCAAGGATTCGCCACTGCCGGGACGGGCCTGCTGGCCGGCGTGGCGTAATTATCGTGCGGGCCTAGAGCACTCGATGACCGTCACGACGCACTTAGTTCCCGTCAGCCCCTCGGAGTTCCCGCCAAGGGATTACCGAGACGCACCTGGGCCCTCCCCGCGCCAGCCAATCTTTTATTCGTCGGAATGGCGATGAAGCGCAAGTCACAGGACAGACGCCTCCTGGCCGCACCCGCGGCTGCCGCGCCGACGCCGCCGACGCCGCCGGGAGGGACGAGGCCGCTGTTAGTTATTCAAATGCGCGAGGAGTTTCCAACCGCGCCTCAAATTATTGACAGCAGACAACACGTCGATCTGTTAATCGCCCCGTGAACACGTTTTACAGCTTCCAGCGAGCAATAAATGAGTTTTGGGCCTTGCGCGGTCGTGCCACTGTGTTGGGGCAAACAGCCGGCAAATCAGTCTGCAGGCCGGGATGATGACTTGATTCGTGTCCGGCCGGCGTGCCGTGCCGCGCCGGCGTGCCCTGCTGCAGCTAATCGCCCGCCCCGCCCCGCCCCGCCCCGCCCCGCCCTCCGCCCCGCCCCGCCTTTCCCCGCCCCGCCCGCCCCGCGGCGGAAAGTCGGAAAAAACGCGCGCGTGGGAAGGCGGCTGGTGAAGGGCGGCTGGGCCTCGGCCTGCCTTGCCTCGGCCGCGGTCGCCAACAAGTGCCCCGCCACGCGCCGGGTCGGGGCGGGGGAGGGGGGGGGGAGGGGGAGGGGACCGAATCGGCGATCATGAATGGGGATGGCCGGGGATGCCCCGCCGCGGCCGCAAGCGCAAGGCACGCCGCGCCGCGGCAGACTTGCTCCGCAGAATTGGGCGCTGCGAACCAGGAAAGGCCGGCGGGGGCGGGGCAGCGCGGCGCAGCGCGGGGCAGCGCGCATCCCCCGAGGCGACAACGCGACATCGGCCGTTGTCGCGGCCATTGCCGTGTACAGCCGTGAAGCGGAGCGCAGCAAGCGGAGGGAATACCGGCAGGGAAGTACCGCGCCGAGCCGCCCGGCAACGCCCGGCACCCCGTTGTGCCGGCCGTGGCGTTGTGGGGGGCGAGGCGTACTTTTCCACTGCCCTCGCCAGGGACTGCCGCAGCCGGCATGCGCAGCCTCGGCCCCCAGTGGAGGCCGCGCAGGCCGTGGAGGCCGTCCACGAGATAGCCGCCCGCCGCACCCTTCCGAAGAGCTTGGCCGTGTTTCGGAAGGGCGGCGGTCGGCCGGGCGGCGGCCTCGCTCAGGGACACTCCGAGGGACACTCGCTATCGCGGCCGCGATTCCGTGCAGCGGTGTCGTCGCTCTGCCCGTGATTCGTCCCGTAGGGGTGCGAGAGAGACAGAGCGACGAAACGCTGTTCGGGAATCAGTCCACCAGCTTTGCCAGCTACGCCCCGGAGAGCCGCGGCCGCCCCGGCTGGGGAAGCCCGCGCCGTGGGCAGTGCGCAGTGCGGGACGCCGCGGCACGCAGACCGAACGAAAAGAAAAACAAAAAGAAAAGGGAGCAGCGCGACGACGGTGCGGGTACCACCTTGGGTACCACCTGGCCGGGGGGCTGCCAAATGGGATGCACCTCGACGACCACGGCGCGGTGCGCGCGGTGCCGGTTTTCCGAGGGGCCCCGCAGGAATGCCAGGGTTTAAACGCAGGACCAGCAGGACGCGAGCGAGGGGAGGGGAAGGGTCATCCTGGACATTGTCGCAGCGTGGTCTCCGCACCCGGAGCAGCCAGAAAAAGCCGGTGTTTTGACCAACTTTGCAGAGTTTTCACGGGAAAACGGTTTACTCATGTGCATAACCTGTGTCTTCCATTTTCCCGTTTCCTGACCGGCTGCTGTGCCTGCACTGCTTGCAGGGTGGTCGCTGTGCATCCCGCAGAGGCGCGTCTCCCACTACGGCCACCAGGCGCTGCTCCGGCAGGCGCCCAAGGGCGAGCTGCCCGTCGACAAGTTCAACTTCATCGACATCGAGCTGCTGCAGGTACGGAAGGACGAGCGGTCGCACTGAGGGCCAGAAGACCGGGAGGCGGTCCAAATTCCGGACGGGTTTTGAGCTCCCGAGTCGTTAAGTGGGACTCAAACTGAACGAGTGACCCCACCAATAGATTACTCTCCGAACGAGGAGGGATCAATCCGTGGAGTCACACGTTCGGTTCGAGTCCCGTTTAGCCACTCTGGAGCTCAAAACGCGTCCGGGAGGTTTTTGGCCGCCTGCGCCGGTCTTGTGGCCCACTGTGGGTCGGTCACGCGTCGCGTAGACCGGGTCGGGTACATACCGGGTCGCGGAAGGCACGGCTGCCCACGCGCTCGCGACCTCCGCGACGTGGTCGGCGGCGTGGTCGGCGACGTGGTCGGCAAGGCGAGGGAATCCCCGCCCCGATACGCAGCGCACGCGGCTATCGCGCCGCGTTTGGCCGCGGGCTGCTGCTGCCTCGGCGCGGTGAAGAGCGGCGCGGTTTAAAAGCTTCGTACAGCCGGCCCCTCGCAGCGACTCGCACGCATTCGCAAAAATGAAAATAAAGAATAAAACGGCGCCGAGCGGCTCCAGGCTCCAGCTCGAGATCCAGTCCGTGCGGCGGCGGCCCGCGAGGCCCCTACCCGCCGAGCCGGCCGAGCCGGCCGAGCCGGGCGGACGCCGCGGTGCGGACGGGGTATTTCCCAGAGGATGCATACGCCGCGCCGCCACGCCGTGGCTGGCCGTGGCTGGCCGTGGCTGCCGCCGCGCCATACAAATGCTCATGGCGTGTTGTTGTATATGAGGCTGGCCGGCTGGCCGCGCGGCAAAACAGGCGTGTGGGTTTCTCTTCGGCCGATCGCCTTAAGAATTCCCCGGCAAGGCGAGTACCGATGCTGCCGACGTCACGCGCGTGCGTGGCGGGGCGGGGCGGGGCGGGGCGGGGCGGGGACGGGGCAGGGCGGGGCGTGGTGGCCCCGCCGCGGGCAGGTTCAAGTTCAGGATCACGTTCAGCAGGTTCAGGTTCACCGACACTTGCGGCGGCGACGCCACCAACTACTTTTCATTCTGATTTTATTGTTCAGGCCGCCACTTAGTTTTCTAAGGTTGGCGGCTTGAAAGTCACTCACTCACGCCGCTTCCAGCTCAAGCTTGCAGCAGGTGGGAGTAGTATCGCGGGTCGGCCGCGGCGACGGGGGGAGGGGAGGGGCGGTGCATTCTGAGTCTGGAGTAAGTGCGGGGCCGCCTGGCCGCCTCATCGGCCCGCTGACGTCAACGCAGGTGACGACGTCCGCAAGCTGTTCGCTGTTTTCCGCGCGCGTCGACGTAGTGCGTGGCGAAGGACGAGACGCGTTTCGGGCGTTGGCCATCCGGGGCCATCCGGGGCCATCCGGGGCCATCCGGGGCCATCCGGGACGACCAGCCCCGACTAATGAATCCCCGTCATTGTTTTCCCCAGCTGACCGCCGAGTCCGAGGCGGGCAATGTGGTGCTGTCCCCCGCCAGCGTCAAGACGACGCTCTCCATGCTGTGGGAGGGCGCCGAGGGTCGCACGGCGCAGGAGATCGGCTCCGCGCTGCGTCTCCACGGCCGCAGCCGCGACAAGCAGGAGCAGCAGCTGCACCAGTACCAGCAGAACCTGACCGTGAGTAACAGCGTCTGGGCGTGAGCCTGCCTGGAGCCGCCCATAGTGCAGGCCCTGGTGGCGGCCAAAATTCTGGACGCGTTTTGAGCTCCAGAGTCACTAAATGGGACTCGAATCAAACGTGTGACCCCACCAATAGATTGCTCTCTGGACGAGGAATCCATTGGTGGGGTCACACGTTTGATTCGAGCCCTGTTTAGCGATTCTGGAGCTCTACACGCGTCTAGAGTTTTGTCCGCCTCTGCCGTGGCCCACTGGGGGGCGTCCGGTCTGACAGCGAGAGAGACAGAGCGACCTGTTGTTGTTTTAACAATGGGGCGGTCCGATCGATGGGGCCGCCGCCCTACTTTCGCCCCGATCGACAACAAAAACAACAATCTTTGCTAACGAGCCCCTCGCCTCGACAGGTGCCGGCGGCGCAGGGCGAGCAGCCCTCCTCCACCCTCAACGTGGCCAGCCAGGTCTTCTACAACAACCACGTGACCATCAACCCGGCCTACAGCGACGCCCTGGCCAACTACGGCGCGCGGACGCAGGCCGTCAACATGAGCGACCCCGCGCTCGCCGCCGCCACCATCAACAAGTGGGTCAGCACGGCCACGCACGGCCACCTGCCCTCCCTCGTCGAGCCTGGTGAGTCTGCTCCCTGCGTCGTACGGCTCTGCGGACGCTCGGATAGCGTCCCGACGTGAAGGTCTGCCGCACGGTTCGGTTGTAACAGCCACCCTATGCACCGTGTAGCGCCTGCGAGAGGCCGCCAGCCCGTCCCGCAACACGCCGGAGTGGAGACGGTGGCTACCTTGCCCCTGTGAAGATGACAGGCGCGAGGTAGGCCACCGTCTCCACTCCGGTGTGTAGCGGGGCCGGCCGGCGGCCTACCTCGCAGGCGCTACACGTAGGTTATAAGCAAACGGTGCTCTCAGCAACATTGTAGCCACACACAAGGACGTTCGGGCTCCGGGCACGAAAAGGCATTCGATCAATTGTGGCCTGGCCTCTCAAGTCGAGTCACGCCACCCGGGCGCGCCTGGCGGACAGGCAAAGAACGCGTGCAAGCTTGGCGAGTTGCCTGCAGAAACGAAATCATTAGCGTAAGCAAGCCAGCAAGCGCAGCAACCTAACTCTTCTCTTCTTTCCCGGCGCTTCGCCGCGCTTTGCAGACAGCCTGTCGGACAACCCCGTGATGATGCTGGCCAACGCCGTGTTCTTCCAAGGCACCTGGCAGGTGGCGTTCGACCCGCTGCTCACGCAGGAGTCGTGCTTCTACGCGTCCGCGTCCGAGCCGTGCCACAAGGTGCAGATGATGGAGACCATGGGCTCGTTCCGCAGCAAGCTCATCCACGAGCTGGAGGCCACGCTCCTCGAAATGCCGTACAATGTAAGATTGATCCGTCTTTGGTGTCGGTAATGGGACAATGCACGCGAGGCCCGTGTCGCTATTGATTTGGTGGTTGCCCCGCAGGACGGCCGCTTCTCCATGTTGATCCTGCTGCCCGAACGGAGGGACGGCATGCAGGAGCTGATGAGGAACATCGTGTTCGCCAACCTGCTGCACGTGCTCAACAGCGACCTGGAGGACTCGGAGTACGTCGTCTCCATCCCCAAGTTCTCGATCGAGTACAGCACGGACCTGGTGCCCGTCCTGAACAAGGTGAGGCGCTTGACGGGGCGAAAACGCCAGGAATGGTCGGAGACGGGAGCGTGTGGTAAACCGCGGCGGTGTGTTGCAGCTCCGAGTGGTGGACGTGTTCTCCCCGGCGGCCAACTTGTCCAGGATGCTGAAGCAGGACGCCACGACGCGAGTCGAGCCCGCCGTCAGCAACGTGTTCCACAAGTCCAAGATCGTGGTCAACGAGGAGGGGGCCATCGCGTCGGGAGCCACAGGTACGCCCGTATTCGCGCTGGCAAAAACTGAAAGCTGCCGCCGCCGAGTGGATTTGAACCTCTGTCTTTCGTGTCACAGGCGCCCTGGTCGTGCCCCTGATGGGCGGCCCCCAGCCCAAGTTCCGCGCCGACCACCCCTTCCTGTTCTTCATTCGCGACGTCAAGACGGGCGGCTTCCTCTTCGCCGGCCGCGTGTCGCGCCCCGAGGCCGCCGACGTCGCGCAGCCCGAGATGCCCGCCGTGCTGCTCAGCGAGATGAAGGAGTCGGCCACGGCGGGGCCCTCGTCGGCCACCTCCAAGCGGTCCAACGCCGCGGCCGCGCAGCAGAACGTCAAGGACGACATCAACTTCCCCACCAACGGCAGCAGGGACTGAGGCCTGACTGCCCCCTTTCCTTTCCTCCCCTCTCTGCGTCTGGACGGTCTGGGCGGTCTAGACGGTCTGGACGTGCGACACCTGACGACTCGAGACGTACTATGAGATAGGATTTTGTTTTAGACCCTCGACGAGCGGCGAAGCGGCGACGCGGCGAACAGATGACGTGACTGGTGTAGTTATTTATTCTGCGGTGCCGCACAAGTTTCCCCCAGTGTTTAGTCGTTAAAATAGTTTGAAGCGAAAATTGAAATCAAACCGTGGCGACGGCAGTGCCACTTCGAGCCATATTTTTTGCACGTTTACGTTGTTGTTACATTTCTTTCCTCCGAGGAGACTGTTATTTTATTTAGACATATAGTTTTTGTATTAGTGTTGAGACTTGTGCGTAGTTTTAAGCTAATAATATTTATGTATGCTGTGATTTCTTTACGGTGGTTTATTTTTTATGCGATTTGTATACCTTGATCATAGTGTTGGCTACTAGTGCCACCAACTGATTGTGGAAGAAGCTCACCCACGTTCATGCGAATGAGATGGGCACCCAAGTCAAAGTTTTAATGGGCGTTCCCTCGGACGTTCCCACCGCTCAAGACACGAACTGTGCTCCAGTCAAAATCGGGGAACACGACCACTTTCAAGAAAACACCTGCCGTTTGTATCGTAGAATCCGCAAGGACAAAGATTTATTTATCCGGGAATTTTCCCCACCGATCTCATAAAAGAAACAGCGGTTCGGGCGAAATGCAGTCCCGCCGAGACTCTTTCCTCCAGCTTACTCCTACAAGCCAACGACGAAAGAGGTCAGTTCGAGGTATCCATGTTGCAGTAATTAATAAAAATTGAAAACTTAAATTGAAGTTTCAATAGGTATACTTTTCACACCTAATTCAAACCTACAACCTTACATCCACCCTGTTAAATTTCAGAAAAGCGCCACCCAGGGTATGGAAAATATCCGAATGGGGAGTAATGGGGGCGAGGGGGCATGCCCCCCCCCCCCCCCCCCCGGGCATCTATCACTTGATGAACTATGCTGGTGCTTGGTCAATAAATCAGTCAACACAATATTTCATTGGAACGGCAAAATCGATAATACAATAACACAATATACAAAACAATCAACCGCAAAATTATTAAAAACCTTGGAAACACGAGGGAGGGGGCGGAGAGGTCATTGTCTAAATAATTTGATTAAAAATGCCAAATATACTCATGGAACGAAAGTCGGAGGAGTTGCTCATTTTGTTGGAGGGCCAAACAACTCTCGGTGCCACTATCCAATTCCACTGGAATGCTGAAACCTCCAGCCCCCCTTTGATAATACAGCCCCTCTCCTCTCGTCGGGCGGTCCATTTAATTTTTATGCCGTATTGCCGAAAACAATCAATACGAGCGCACGCAGGTCTGCCATTTTCCACTCGTCTTCGTCCCTTCGTCCGGACGCGAAGCAACGCGAAGCGCCAAGCACGGCCCCACCACGCTCGGAATAATACGCGGTCCCGGGCGTACGCAGCATTCTTTCGCTCACGCAGCCACGCTCGCGCCGCTTTTTAAAATCCCCTCCGCTTCGCGGAGTTCTTCGTTTTGCCGCTTCGCCTCTTCGCGTCGTCGCTGAGGGCGCCACGGGTCCTCTTTCCGGGTTTTTGGCTACAGCTCGGTGGTGACGTCAGCGACTGCTCCCCCAGCCGGCCTGGCCCAGCAGGCAGCAGAGTCTGTCCGCCGCCGCCGTCCCGCTACCAATCAGCCATGTTCGTTGAGAGTTGGAAAAAAATCGCTCCGTGAATCAAGCGTTCCACGGCCTGCCCCCCTGTTCGAAGTGCCCTAGTTTTGTAGTGATACGGTGGCTAAGCTCTCCGTCTTTTATTTTCCGTGAGTTTGGAATCTCCACGATACAGCCATGAGTTACGGGAGGCCTCCGCCTAGAATTGATGGCATGGTGTCTCTGAAAGTGGGCAACCTGACCTACCGAACGACGACCGACGATTTGCGACGGGTGTTCGAAAAATTCGGCGAAGTCGGGGATGTCTACATCCCGAAAGACAGATTCTCACGAGAGAGTAGAGGATTTGCGTTCGTGAGGTAAGTAAATATTAAATATGATCCTGTAACGTTAGCAGCTTGGTCTGCGTAGTAGGGCTGCGCGACTACTGTGAACAACTGAGCGTCCATGATATTTTCTCTCGGAGAATGTTTGTGTTGATGGAGTCTCGGCTCGATCAGCGCGCATGCCCAAACTTTGCTTATTGGACGGTTGTTTAGGCAACGAATCTAACAATTGATCCCGTCCAGTTTATTGTAGCAACGCAGTCTCGCTTTGACCACGCCGTTCCGGTTTGGTGCGCCGCGTCATTTGGCCGGATTTTTTCTTCTCCCCAGAACGATGCCGCCATCTTGATTAGGTCCTAGTCCCACGTCTCCTGAGCTGTTGGTTCAACGAACTGACGTGTCACCCGAATCTTGTAGTGTTGCATTAACTCAACTCCTGTGGCGGCCAGAGTCTTTGCTTCTGTTCCAAAATGTCTTACGGTCGGCCTCCGCCCCGCATCGACGGCATGGTGTCCCTGAAAGTAGACAACCTCACGTATCGCACCACGCCAGAGGATTTGAGGCGTGTGTTCGAGCGGTGCGGGGAGGTGGGAGATATTTACATCCCCCGCGACAGATTCTCGAGAGAGAGCCGCGGATTCGCGTTTGTAAGGTGAGTGAGCGGTCTGGGGCGCATCGGAACTAAGAGAGATGCACTGGATGCACTGGCCCTTATGCCTGTTTCACCCCATTTCCCATTCCTTGGCTCCTGCAAGCTTTGGTGCATTTTTTGTGTGCCGCGCTCTTGAGGGCTCAGGCTCAGCCTTTTAACGGGTTTACTTTGTTATTAAGTGGCTTCTTCTGGGATTACGACTTGTTGGAGTCGATATTAGAAGCTATCTAGGTTGCCACGCACCGCTGGCCACGTAAACTGGGTTATGCCACATGAACTGAAGCAAGTGCATTGTTGCTGAATAGTTGTTAATAAAAACTTAAAAGTTTTTGAAGATATTGCCTTGGCATACTTTCAAGTCAGTTCTATGCGTACTGTTTTATTCTGTGTGAGAAAAGTCAACTCGTGATGCTTCAATCGTGACAGGTTTTCCTAGCACAAGCATTTTGGCTGGCAGATGAGCACCCAATCTCTACTTGTTTTAATAGATGTCTTTCTTGTTTTTAAAGGTTCTATGACAAACGAGATGCTGAAGACGCACTGGACGCTATGGATGGAAGACTCCTCGACGGAAGGGAATTGCGAGTCCAGATGGCCCGCTATGGACGGCCTTCTTCACCATACCGCAGGAACAGCCGCAGAAGAAGGTAAGTTGATCTCCAAATTTTGGTTGTAACTTTAGGCTTTCTCTTTTCCCTTACGATGGAACATGTAATTGCAGCCGATCTGGTTCTCGTTCCCGCCGCCGTTCTCGCAGTCGCAGTCGCAGCCGATCTCGCTCCCGCTACTCGAGATCTCGATCTCGCCGCCGCTCCTACTCCAGGTCCCGGTCCCGCTCTCGTTCTGACAGCAAGAGCTCACGAGGCAGGTCCCGCTCCAGGTCAAAGAGTGCTGACCGAGCAGAACGCACCAGCAAGTCACGTTCCAAGTCCAAAGATTAAGGTATTGCCCATTTCATGTTGGTTATGGTGTGTGCTGGCATTTTGTTTGTGAAAAGAACCTCGTTACTTTTTGCTGTATCCTCATACCTGATAGCACATCGGTCTTCGTTTCAGATTGAACGTGCAAATGGTTTTGGGGGAGAGTTGAGCGCTGTTTGGTGCTTCATTCAAAGGTATATTGCATTTTAAAGTTTATATATTTATCTCCCTCAACATCCAATTTTTGTTTGACGTTGAAACAAGATGACACGAATTTTATGTGACTGAAGGTTATGGTCAATTTAGATCATTCGTAACCTGTTTGCAGTTTCCCCCTGCATTTTTTTTTATCGTACACTTTATTTTGAAGCTTATGCTACTGCTTCAGATTGTGTACAATCGTAGATGTTTTACAAATCACAAGTTTGTTTCCGACTTAGTTTTGTACTACCCTTTCAATTGTAGGTGATAGTTTAGGCTTCATACTTCTTAAATGTCCTATTCACTTAACGACTCTGCCATAAATTTTGCTCTAAGGTGTGAAGCAGATGTTCCACTATCAAATCTCTTGTCAGTTCATACTGCAGTTTTAAAATGAGTTGCTGTTCTCTGTGTGTTTGAGATGGGGACTTTCAAATTCTTATTAACTGCTTAGTCAGAACTGTTTGTCATTTTGTTTCTCCATTAGTTGCTTTTGGTTTTTCAGACTATTGAATTCCATAGTAGGTTATAATCATGTCCTTTCATTTTGTGTGGCATTTGTGGTAACCACAGATTGCCAAAACCATGAATCGAAGCATAAATTTGCCTGATTTAACTTTTAAATATTCTCTTGTCAGTTATATTTAGTTCTATCCTGAATTCATATATTCACAAGTTACTATCATTTCCAGTTAAATATCTCATGGTGTGATTTCATTGTGCATTGTCTTTATATTTTCTTCGTTGCAATAAGCTTGTGAAGTGTTAATTGTAAAATATGAATTAGTCACTGTACTGCATTAATATTGTAGTATACATTTACAAATAAATCACTTTCCTTTACTAGAGATGTGTTTCAGGTTTTCTTTTATTACAAATAATTGTGGCTCTTTTGGAATTGATAGCGTATATTGCTTTATATTACAACTTAAAAATTGGCCTTGTCAATTCAATTGTTAGGAGTAAATGTATCTCTAATGTTAGTGTGGAGCTATTAAACTGCTCCATTTGCAATTGTGAATCTACAGCATAGCGCATGCTGTGGTATGTCTTAGTGTCTAAATTAAAGATTTATCTGAAAGTCTATGGAAATCTTGTTTGCCATTTCTGCTGTTGGGTTTGTTGTAGCCTGAACAGATCCCCCTTTTAACAATTACTGTGAGTGTTTATTCTGTGCGGCTGGTTTGAAATGTTTTGAGCTGACCTTTTGTATTTTCGGTGCCACAGGGCGCGAGACCGTGCGCTGTGGTAGCGGTAACGAGTGCTGAGAATGGGGGTTGCGGTTGCGAGACTATGCTGAGATCGGGGTGTTGCGAGCGAGCTCCAGGCTCCAGGCTCCGGGCGTGCTCCAGGCCAGACGAGACAAGCGAGACACGAGACTTGGTCGTGGAGGCCGAGCCTGGCCGAGCCTGGCCGGGACATGGCGAGCGTGCGGGTTGCTGTTTGGCTGACATTTTCGGGGCAGGCAGTTTCCTCAGTCGCTGAGTCCGTAATGTTGGCCACACTCAGAATTGAGTGTTCAAACAAAAAAAAATCTCTCCTCGCCTTAACAATCACATCAGGCTTTCCCTACTTACACTATTACACAATCTTTAAGCAAATGGTCAAGCAAAGCTGGTCATATGAATTTTTACCATATGATTGTCTTTTTTCTATTTTGTGATCCTGTTTTTTGGCCATTTGCCTCAAGATTTTTCTTGCCTATCACCTTGCCTGAATACTTAATCCTTCAAAACTTCAACCTTTATCATAGTTGCTGCACAATTTAGCAAGGTGGGTATTCAGAGAAATTTTGTCATTTCTAGTGTAAATGCAAGGTTCTGTACAGCTGGGCAGATTTGAGTAGCTAATTCACTGGCGTTACTCTTCAGTATCGCATCTTTCTAAACTCGTATGCTAGGTGTTATTCATGCACCTGCCATTAACTTAATTCCCACTCTTGCAGGGGTAGCTAAAAGCAGTTCAACTTATTTTATGAAAGTCTGTACTGCCCAATACCTGCTTCAGGTTCAATACCCAATGTTCAATATCAATTGTAGACTGCATGTTGCCTTTACACATTTCCTCTGCATGTGGACAATATGACAGTATATCCCATTTTTTTCATAGCTGCTGATATCTAGCCATACATTTTCTTTGTTTAATTTCTGGCTAGATCAATGTTGAGTGCTTTTCTTGTACCATGTAGGGAGGTACAGTACTTTTTAGTTTGGAAAATATTTAGCTGAGACACAAGTTTGTAAGATACATGGTGTTGGTGTCTCTCCATTCTATATATATTTTTTTAAATTAAATGAAACCATGTTGAATGGTATGCATGTGAAGTGCTCTGGTGGTGGCTATTTCGTGGTGAAAGGCTTGGGACTGATGTGCTGTTGAAATGACACTTCAATCAAGTCAATTTCTTATGCCAGACCTACATTCTGGCAGTTGCACTTAGTAATATACATTTCAATTAATGGCAACGAAAGAAAAGAGCTGGTAACTTTTGGAATCTAAAGACATTTTTTCCCATTCTTTTCTTTACATTTTATGGATGGCGTCTTGTCACATGTTATTGATATTTGTTCTTTTTCAGATTCTCTGATGGGTGAAATTTGCTGTGGATGTGCCTTTGTTTCAGAGTAAATAAAATTCTTGTGCTAAAAAGTGTCGTTATCCTTTTCCTCTTGTCATGCACCTTGCATGTTCTTGCACCAGCTCAGCACACACATCATTCTTTTTGAACCCTTTTTCAGTAAAATTTACAAGCGATCTGGAGAAGAGGTGGCAATTAAACAGAAACAAAACTCGGTGGTTTCGTCCGCGTGTCGAAAACCCATCAGTGAACTGAAAATAGAGTGCTTTGCACCAGAAAAACTAGAAAATAACAATAAAAATAAGAACTTTAACAACCATGCATCAGAAAAGTTGTCATTAATGAAAATTCTGCACATAGCATTAGGCTCCTATTTGCACTACCAGTGAGCTATTCACACCATAAACTCCCGTGGACCAGTACTGCAAATAGCGGCCGCGTCTGTCTGTGCTCGCGCTTGTTTACATCTTCTCGCACCTAGCTGTCATTTTTGCGATTCGCAGTGAAATTCTCGTTTCTCATGATCCTAAGTTGCAAAATGGATTGCTAACATAAGCGCGAACATGCCTTTGGTCAAATTTAATTCCCCTACTTTCTGATAAATAGTACTATTATGGATACTCTATGACAGTGGCCTGCTTGCCTGCCCTACATCAAAAAATGTCGTCTTGTATAAGCACTTTCCTCTACTGCAGTATTTCAAATAAATTATTCTGACTTTAAATCATTTCGCGACGAGTGTCACTTCAGGGGTCCAAAGGATGGTTGCGGTTCAACTCTATCTTAAGGTGATTTGTAGGTTAAGGATTAGTGGTCTATAAGCCGAACGTATTTTTCCACATTATCCTCCTAGTGGTTAGACATTTCGTAGCCAGTTGCTTGCCTGTTAGTAGCTTACAGACGAAACTACGTTTAATATTCTCACCTGCTCTTTGATATAAAACACTATTTTATGCTACATCTGGTCTGTGGTCGTTCCAATCCAATATTATTGCTGATTCTCAATGGCATTTTGCTACAGCTGACGTCATGAAACCAAACTGTGATGGCCAAACCAACTTATCCTCGCCCGGCTCAACATCTGGCTCGTGGGCCCCATCAAGCTATCAGGTAGGATCACTGACATAAACATCAGTTCAAAAGATGAAGTGTTACTTAATTTTGACTGGTGTCTCGTGTTTTTGTAGAAACCCATGGCTCGAAGGACCAAGCGCACCCCCAAGCCATGGTCCAGGGCCTGGCCCGGGCAGTCATTCTTCAGGGTCAACTACGTACGATGGTTACATGCCCGTCTACGACCAATATGCTCCAGAGCCCCCTCTACCGCAGACTTGGCGTCAACCTTCTGCTACGGTATTTGTAAATCAGATGCAGTTTTGTGACAGCTTATAGGTTTGTTCTGATTGAATTTCTAATATTTAATAAACAACTTTCAGACCCCTGTGTATGAGGTTCCGGAAGGAGGAGTTCAAGTGCCCCCTCCTTGTACACTCCCTCATCGGAACACCTTAAGAAGGAGTGCCCAACCTTCAAATCGGCCACTTACGCCAGGAGGGCTGTCACAGTTGTCGGGAAGTGCAGGAGCAGCTCCTGGCTGTGGGGAATGCGATGCTTTGGACACGTGGTGTTATTACTGCATTCAGGTAGTTCTTGGCATTGCTGCACTGGCAGGAGTGTCGCTCCTGATTGCCGCAGCTGTTCTAAGGGGCCAACGGCCACGGGCCGCAGCATCTGCCAACTTGTCAGCCATGCCCTATATAGGGGCTATGTTGGCCCTTGTAGCAGGAGCATTACTACTTGTACAGCTGGTTGCAAGGAATGAAAAGAAGAAGAAGAAGCGACGTCTTCAGCATTTGCGTGAACAACGATCTGTACCCGCTGGTAATTATAAATAAAGGTTCTTTTTGTTGTGTTTTAAATCCCAAGTGGCAAGGTCCATAATGTTCCATAATTATTTATTGCAGGCCTGGGGGGTACACTGAGACGCCCAGTGGGTGATGCTGCTGATTTAATTCCGCTGCAAGAGCTTCACAAATTAACAGCTCCAAGTGCTCCCACAGCTCAGAGCAGCTTCCCGGTAGGCCCGTCGGCTGGCCATCTCACACATCAGTTTCAGCCCCTTTTATCAAGACCTATGTTGAACCAACAACAGACTCAACGGTATGATTTTCCTGCTTGATTTTAAATTTATCTGCTTCATTCTTTTAAATTCTTAATCTGTTATTGTGTTACTTTTTTTTTGCTGTCTGATTTTATAATGTGTTTAATTGTATTCAGACCTCAAGACCTGCTGTCTCCAAGTGGGACCCCATGGTGGCGCAGGCAGCAGGCTCATCCTGGACGAGTGGTGTACCCATCCTAAGGTGCCAAAACAAGTGAAGCTCTACCCAAAGACTGAACCGGAACAACATTTGTGGGGCTTCGAAATGTTTGTGTATGTGATATATCTTGTTTTGTTTATCTTAATTCTTATCTTATTTTTGACCTGAGAAGAATTGTTATTTTGTAAGACATGCTGCAACTTGGCAAGAAATCATATTTTTCTTCAAGTTTGATTTTGAAGAAGAAAATTGGATGGACTAAAATTATAAGAGGGGGTTGCAAGCCGTTTAAAATAATTTGATTTTGATGTTTAAATTAAATAATCACCAAACTAGTCATAGTTCCGTTTGCTGTTTACAGAAAAAGTCAAATTTATTTCAGAACAATAGTAACTTTCTAATATATTGTATATTTTTTGAGCCTTGACCATTTTTTTAAAGTTTTGTTATTTGTAAATAATGTACAGAGTTTGTGGATTAATTTGTACTATTTTGCTACAATTATTTTGTATAATAATAAAATTGACTGAGCTTAAGTGGGTAGTTAATTTACTGTCCAAGTGCTTTGACGCTGTGGGGGGCACCAGGGCAGTGCACCCAGTGCACCCCCGATGAGAGAAACTCTTTTGCCTCTTCACAGGGGAAAAATCGTGAGTTTACTTTCCTCATTGCCAGCATGTCTCTAGCATTTTCCCATCAGCGCGCTGACGTGTCGAATGGGTGGCTTCCCTTCGCGGTGCAATTGCTCAAAGATTTGAGTCTCTCCGTGAAACTGAACAGAGCTACCTTTCGAACGGCCGAGATCCCCTAGCCAGAAAATGAGTCATTGTGAGTGCAATTAATAGAGAAAATGCCATATACTGTAATTATTTAATATCGATAGTCATAAAGTCAAATTTTGCATTCAGGGTGACACGTATTGGTATTATACATTTGTTTGATACTGTTTGAGAAAAAAAAATCTTATCAGTGATTCACATTATAAAAGGAGGCAATGCAAGTATATTTACAATCTAGCACAAAAGTTAACTCTATTTAAATTCATGCGTTATAATTTCAGCATCAGTATACTAAAGCCAACTCTTAAGGCTTCCATAATCTTAAAAGACCTTCTTCACTGTAAGTGCATAACAGGTTCTGATGAGGGTGGTGAGCAACTCCAATTACATCCTTTTCATGGACCTGGAAGAATTTCAAAAAGTCAGTAAGAGACAGAATGAATCTTAAATATCAATACAATTACAGTAGATATAACTTTGTAAAGGATCAAGGCAAAACTTACATTAAGGGTTCTTTCTAGTTTTCCTGACTGCACTGAAAAGCAGTACAAAACTAGATCCTCACCAACACAATAAATCCAATCACCACGTGGAGATAAAACAGCGCAAACAAAGTCACCTCGTTCTCGTTTACCACTTGAAAATGATCTCACAATCTAAAGAATGGAAACACTTTGTTAAAAGGCTGAGCAAGCACAAAGAAGCTGACAAGATAATTAGAATTAATTACCTGGCCTTGCATATTCATAATCACAACAGTGTTTGTCCTGTTACAGATAACAAAATGTTCCGGGTTCTTTGGCATTATATGAATGCTGTTCACAGCAATATCTGATGCACCCAGTGATACAAATGTGTTGGTACATTCTGTTGTTTTTAGGTTCCATACTTTGACAGTTCCATCGGATGATGCACTATTTTTAAAAAATAAGAAAAGCAAAGTTAAAGGTAAAAGTAGCTGTATTAAAAATTAACAATAAAACCAAAATGATTACCTGAGAATACTGTGTCCATCAGGAGTGAAGACAGCTTCGTTCACAAATGACGTATGACCTCTGAATTCTTTGAGAGGCTTCCCTGACTTTAAACCATGTATTCTAAAAACAATAACAAGCTTGGTAATCATACACATACATAATAACAATTCACAACATGACTCTGTTCCATACCTAATATGAGTATCAAAAGAGGCTGACAAAACTTGGCTGTTGTCTCTAGAAAACTGCAAGCATGTGATGCCTTTAGAGTGAGCCTTCTCAAAGCGCCGAAGGCACTGTCCTGTCTGGATTCGCCACACTTTGATTTTGCCATCCTGAGAGCCAGAAGCTAGCATCTCAGAATCTCTTGAGAAAGACATGCAGAGGACAGCCTCTTCCATCATCATGAAGTTGTCCTACACAAATGAAGAAATAAAATTATTGGAACCTAACAAACAACATAGGACAGAATTTGAAACTGAATAGTTTGTCATACCTGAGCCTGATACTTAAGATCCTTTCTAACTTTACCAGTGGTAAAGTTCCACACCTCAATGAACCCATCAACAGACCCAGTAACAAGGTATTGGCCATCGGGAGAAAAACGAGCGCATTCCACATGGGACTTTTGTCCAAACTTAATTTGCTTAGAGAGTTGAGTTGGATACTTCTCATCCTCTTGTTCTTTGATGGCAGCTTTACCACGGAACAGATCAATAGTTGTTCCTGAAACAAGCAGAATAGAAGTAGAAGATACATGTATGATTTGTGCATCTGCAGTTTCTTTCCTTGCCCTATCTCCGCATTAAAAATTTTTACTTACCGGGAGGTAGGAGACCTTGGTGTTGTTGCCATTTAAGTGCTTGCCCAAGCAGAGCCAACAAACGTGAGGAAGGCACCACAGAGACTTCTCCCGACAAAGCTTGGGCAATAGCTGCACGTCGCTTTTCTTTAGTACTGCCATCAGGATAAGCTTCTCTTGGATCAAAATAAGACCTTGCCAGCAGGTTTTCTAGGTGAATATATCTTTCTGGTTCCTGCTGCTTCATTACAATCATAGGATCAGTCTGACGAAGTAAAGATCTTGCAGCGCCCAGCTCTCGGAGTTCAATAAGTTCTAACACAACCTGGACAGTAAAAAAAAAGAAAAAGTAATCAAGAGATTCCTTACAGACCATTTCTACACTTAAATTATTATTATTTTAATTTATTATTTTAATTAACACTAACCTGTTCATAAAGATCAATGAGTTTCTTATCAGGCAGTTTCAATGACTGGATAGCCTTAAGGACTGTGTCCCAGTGTCCATTGTTGATATCAGCGACAAAACCATCAATGCTGTCCACCGTATTAAGAGAGACCCCTGTCTCATCCTAAAAATAGTCGTAACATAGAATTTTAGCAATAACTTGTATCTGCAACCACAAACCAAAGGAAAGACAATCTTGCCTGTAACGTTTGCAGGGTTTTGAGGAGATTTGATTCCTTAAGAAACTGCTGTATCAGCCGAACGACACTGCAACACGGAAAGTTTACTTATAGTACACTAAAAGGGAAATGAGAAAACACTGGCTGGAGCATTCTCCTACATTCTTGTTCACGACAATGAATGTATCAGAATTTGGCAGTTCACAGCAAACACAGTGAACATCGTCGTATTCCCCGAGATGAATGTAACAAATATTTTTTAGACAGTTGCTTATCACATTAAAAAGTGTTTGCTTTCTGTCAACAGTAGCCCCCTCAGAAGAGCACTTCAGAGGTTAGACGCATGAAAAAACAGGTGCATAACCGTTTACAGCAACACAAACTTACTCGGCAGACTCAATTTCAATAGACATGGTTTATTTAAATCCTTAGAGTGCACCGGTCAGAATGAAAGGACAGAAATACTATCCTTTTCGCCGTTTTGAAGCGGCGAGTTATGTTTACACACAAGATCCAAACATAACCCTTCCTTGTCTGCGGGTGGAAGTCAATATACTATAAGGCTGTGGACTGAATTTTATGATTTTATGCAAGCGAAGTTTCTCATACCGTGGTGTTTGCTGGGCGCCGCGCGGGAAGCACGATGGGTTGCCTAACGCCGAGGCGCTCGTAGCAGCTCGTAGGTACACTGTACGTACTCGTAGGCACAGGGAAGCAACGTGCTCCACCACTGAGTTCTGCAGCTGAACTCCCATGGGGAAATACTCAGCTAAGGTTGCCCAATGGTCTTTGATACATGGTACATGGTGTGAAAATGGCATTGCACATGACGTTAGTTTAGTTCTGGAGTAAGTAACTTTAATTCTTTTGCCCAAAATGTTGCTTCCCCTAGCCTGGGGGTGCATTGCAATGGTGGCATCAACGGCGTCGACGCCTCAGGCCATTTTCACACCAAAAGAAATTAGAGAGCTGTGAGCACCTTTTCCTGAGGTGACTACATTTCCCTCCAGTGCTCTGGTAAGCAGAAATTCAAAGATGCTTCCACTCGAGTGAAAACAATTCCAATTCAAGAGATTCATGACATGACAATTTAATTCACAGAATATCACAAACCACAGTTATTTCGATTATATCACAATAAATTGCAACAGTCAACAAAACTTTTGAGTTCAGAACAAAAATTGGAAAGGCCATACTACATTAGAACAGTCTAGTTTACTTTTTTGGCCTGAATCTGTCCAGCACATTTCTTGACTCATTATTGCTTTGCTTCTTCTTTGAATTCTCTTCCATGAGAAGTTTACTTTTGGTTTGTACAAATTTCTGAAAAAAATAATAAATGTTGCAATGATTTATAACCAAATAATTGAAGAAATAAATTTTTTATAAGGGAATATTATTTTAATCCATACCCGCACGTTATCTTCTCTGACAATCTTCTTTGACTTAGCAGCGAAGGCTGTGCCTGACCTCCATTTAGCTCTTTTACGAGGCTCAAAGTCAAGCTTCGGAGGCTTCAAAAACTGGAATAAAAGTAAAACCCTTTATTAAAACAGGAATTGCCATGACAAACAAAATTTAACTAAAATCGGTATCTTATCTTACCAGAATGCTCTTCTTGGCTTCTACTTTGTCCTGTAGAGTTGGAACATCAACCTGAGCAATGGTATTGGGATCCAAGGTGATGAGCTCAGGTTGAATTTTCTCCAGTAAAGATTTGACTTCAGCTTCTCTTCGCTGGCTCTTAGTCTGATAAGGGTTGGCTTCAAGAGCATCAAAGTTAGGCTCACCACTCCCTGAAACAAGCAGAAAGATTGAAATTATTATCATCATCTCAATAAATAAATAAAGCAATCATGTTAGTTGGCAAGCTATTGCCACTGCTTTATGAGAATTAAATGGTTTCTGACCTGGCACAAGTACGCTTGAAAATCCACGAGCATGCGCAACTCCTAACACATCTTCATAGGGAGAGAACTGGAGACCCGTGACACTACCGTTACTCTTGTGTCGAAGATAAGCCTTTTCAACACTGTTTCGGCACGGATCTTTATAAACCTAGATAGATTTTAAATAAAATTAAAAGAAATTGACAACATTAACAAACTAAGACAGCATAGGTAAGTAATTACCTCAACTATGTTTCCCATGGAAAGTGCTACAAGTCCTTTCTCACTGAAAGCTAAGTTATTGGCATGTCCATACAGGTGATACTCTGTTAGAGGCCCAGACATCATTCTAAGGTCCCATGTTTTTACAGTTTTGTCAGCTGCTGATGTTACCATATACCTATAAAGAGAAAAGTACTTTATGAGTTTGCAAGACCAGATAGGCGAATGCTGAACTTAACAGGTGCCAAATTGAAAAATAACAAGTTCTTAAGAAATAACTTACTGTCCGGTGCGATCAACATCGAGTCCAAGTAATGGTGACCTGTGGCACAGCATTTTTGCCAATGGTTCTTTAACATTTGGACTCCACATAGTTACTGTGCCTGCACACAAAATAGTACAAAAAATAATTAACAATTAAAATGGAGGTACAGGTAAAAAATTGAGATAGTCATTTTTCTTACCTTGAGCATGACCCAAACAGAGAATAGCATTATATGGATTCTGTACCATAAGGTTCAAACGACCCATTCTGGTGTTAAATTGGGAAATTATCTTTCCTACAGATATATCTAGCCATTTTAACCAGCCGTTTTCACCCTAAAATTCAAGAACTTGATGAGTGCCATGGTAAGAATATCATATCACAAATTGTGACAGAAAAGAAACAACTTACAGCGGTTGACAACAAGAAATGATATGGAAGGAATTCCATACGGAGAGCTCTATTAAGTTGTTTTAGGCAGTGTAACTCAATGCCTTGGTTGTCATAAATGTATACCCACTCTTTTTGTGCAACTGCAAGCATAGTTTCAACATGCAGCCACCTATGGATAAGAAATTTATTAAGAATTGGGCATGAATACAGGATGACCACTTTATTCAAAATATAGAAGACCATTCAGTAATTCTCCAATTCTTACCGGACATCCACAACCTCTTCCATAACATTTATTTCACACATAAGCTTTTTAGTGACCCAGTCCATGGTAGCAATGTGGCCTCGTCGACCACCAATTGCTAAGTATCTCCCATTTCTACTGTAGTTTGATCTACAAAAATTAAGTTTAAAGCAGAAATACATATTAATTGATTTGTAATAATGGATATTGAATTTATCCAACTTGTTCAAACATACCGGTACGGTCCAAACTGAAGATCTAAATCAAACTGTTTGGAAGCGCTTGTAATATCGACAGAATCGGCAATTTGACTCTGATCAAATTGTCTTGTCACCTCACCATCATCAGCCTCCAGATAACTATAAAAAATAAAGACATAGAACATTCTCATGAGAAAGTCTCCGAAAACAAAACAACATGCAGTACAGATTTGAACAGATATTACTCACCCTGTGTCTTCAGGTAACAAAATTTCCAATCTGGCTGCCTGTTCTGTTGAAAATTCTATTGCTTTCTCCCGCCTCTCCAATTTGGCTTTGAGAACGTTCTTTTTCACCCCAGACCCATCCATTCCATCACCTCGGCTGTACTTGAGTAATTTTTCTTTGGGAACAGGGGTGCGACCAGAGGCCTTGCCTCCCTTGGAGTTTCGAAGTGACTTAGGCAGTTCATTATTTTCACCCTACATCAAAACACAACATTATTTGCACAACCTTTGAGATCATAAAATAAACCTGACATTACAAAATAGCGTACCTCATCTTTCACTTTGCCTGCTTTTCCTTTCCGTCCTTTGAACCCAGCAGTGTCAGCAAGGGAAACAAAATCTTTGAGTTGCTCATCTCTCTTCTTCACCCACTGCTTTCGCTTTGCTGGTTTCAGGTTGGCTTCGACCGCCTTCGTCGTGTGATCTGGAGTTGGTTTCGTTTTCCCCATCTAAAAAATGATATTAACATGACACAGTCTGTAACATTTGGGAGCAATCATGGGCCATAACAGCCAGAATGCACGAGAAGTTGAGGTTATCGAAACGGTAAACAAAACAGAATTTACCGAAACAATTCAGCCAAAATTGCTAAGATACCTTTCAGACAGCTCTGATAACAAGTGTCTCATCCACAAAGACACTTTCAACACAATTATACGTTCTAAACAGCACTGTTTTTAGAAAATTTGAGGAAAGCAGACAGCAACAGCACATGTAGCTTGTTCTTGTTGGATGTTCTTGTTGGTTGCCTCAACCCCCACCACTGCTCATCCTGCCCATAGAGTTTCGAGCATATACGCACCACAACCTCCAGCCAATCACAGCTCAGAGGATACCCCTCCCCCCACCCCTTCTTTGGCGCGCTTGCATCCAAATCCAAAAGTGTAGAGAGGCGTAGGGGGATTCGACACCAAAACTTTTTTTTGGCCGCGACTCAAGGTTACGAATTACACTGATAAACCCTGATTTTACTCGCTGGGGGATTGTAATATTTTTCTGTAAAGTACAGCATGAGAGAAGGGCGCCCTTCTGTCATGAGTACAGACTGCTCTTCCTAACTTCTCCTCTCAAGGATTCGAAGCACCGCCGCGTGACTGGCAGTCTCCAAATGCCTCCGCGGCGAGTTTCCTCCCGTAGATTAATTTCGTGTCGTGTACTTTATGCCCTTTCGTGAGTCAACAGAGTGGCCCATTATACTTCCCATGGATAAATAATTGAGATAAACTAGTATGTAGTAGTTTTTTTATTGCTAAAAACGCATCACTGCACCATCACAATTTTTACTTCATAGCTACTCACTCACACTTCCACACATTCAATGAGCGTAAATACAATTTTTACTTAAAATTACATAGGTTGAGCATCGTTTCGCGTTGTTCAACAAGTTTATTTGAGATCACTTTGAAATGCACCGCACCACAGGAGTCACTTGGAAAGAAAATCAATCAATCCATCCGTCCATCAGGGGAAAGGAATGAAGCTTCAGAAGTTCAACTCGTCCAACTTCTCCTCCACTCTTCCAAGCAAACGAACAAGACTCTTGCAGAGTTCGAAGAGGGGAGGACCGGCGACGCTTGGAGGCAGACGCGACACTACACCATTAAACCAGCACCGGGGAACGGTGTCTCTTGTGGCGGCGCCGGTGCCGCCGGCCTCGGCCGTGGCTCGCCGTCGTGTCCGTGTCGGCGGCCGTGTCGGCGGCCGTGTCCGTGGCAGTGTCCTGCCGGGCCTCGCCATCACGGCCATCACCCTCACCCTCGGCCTGCGCCCCGACGGTCCCGACGGGGGGCGTGGGGGCGTGCGGCTGGCTGGGTGAGGGAGCCCCGTGCTACGAGTGCACGTGTGGGGGCGCGGGCGCGCCGTCGGAGTGCACCCGGTGGTTGTGGTTGTTGAGGTGGTTGTGGTTGGCGTGGTTGCGGTGCACCACCGCGTTGGCCTCGGTGCCCGAGGAGGCCGTGCCAGCGTCCAGCGCGCTGCCTTGCACGGCTTGCACGGCTGGCGGGGCTGGCGTCCGGGGCGGCGGCGACTGTACGAGCCGCTCCACGTCCATGTCGATGTAGTCCAGCGAGGACAGGCGCGCTGGGTTAGCACTGAGGACCTGCGGATGGAAGCCGGCGGTGAGAAAATCCAACGTATAAACAAAAACTCAAAAACTTAAAAAAGTATACAGCGGGCGGAACTAAACCAGCGAGTCTTCCACTCACGTCGTTGGCCGAGGCCACGGAGCTCTTCTTGGCGGGGACGGTTGGCCCGTTGGCTGTCGGGGGCGAGTCCTCGGCCACCCTCTCGGCCACGAGGGGGGTGAGGTCCGTGTGGCTGGCTGCGCGGTCGGGGCCGAGGTCGGGGCCGAGGTCGGGGCCGAGGCCGGGACACAGGCTGAGCAGGGAGGTCTGCTGGGAGCGACTCGTCTTGATGCCGCCGTTGGCCACGTACTGCGGCGCTGTGAGGATCAGAAAGTCTTAGATGGCCCCTGCTCCGCCGCTCCGCCGCTCCGCCGGTCTCTCGGCGACCGGAAAGACAGAGGACACCGCCACGCAGTGGACCAGAAGACCGGTGGAGGCGGAATCCCGGACGCGTTCTGAACTCCAGAGTCGCTAAATGGGACTCGAACGGAACGTGTGACCCCGCCAATGGATTGCTCTCCGAACGAGGAATCCATTGGTGGGGGTCACACGCTCGGTTCGAGTTCGGTTCGCTCAAAACACGTCTAGAGTTTTGGCTGCCTCCACCGGCCTTCTGGCCCACTGTGCGCCGTGCCCGGCCGTGCCGCCATACTCACGGTCGTCGCACTGCGTCGCCTTGTGCTGCTTCTCGGGGGCAGCGGTCGCGTTGGCGGGGGCTGCGTTGGCGGGGGCCGCGATGGCGGCAGTGGGCACGGCGGGCCGCACCGCTGTGGAGGCGGTGGCCGCCGAGCTCTTGATGGTGGTCGGCACCTTGCTCGACTTGGGCATCATGGACTGGCGCACGTTGCGCTCCGGGTGGAAGACGATGATGTACAGCTGCAACCAAAAGTCCGTTAGAGTCCACGAGGAGCGCGGCACGGTCGTAAAGGGAGCGTCCACTATCACGTAACGTTTTCATAGCTCTGTCCTTGTCGATCCTTATGGACTGCTAGTAGTGCGAGAGAGACAGAAGACGTCTCCTAGTTTGTGGACGGGCCCAAAAGGGATGGGTGGCGCATACCTTGGGCGTGAAGAGGCACACCACGGTGACGAAGGCAGACATAGAGATGGTGACGGACATGGAGGTGATGCGGAGGGCTACGTGGTTGGCCGTGGCGAAGAACAGCGGCACGAAGGCCAGCCAGATGACGCACGTCGTGTACATGGTGAAGCCTGCGCGACACACCAGGCACAGCCACACATGAGCAGGGTTCGAGTTGAGGACCCGTCCGGACCGAAAGCACTATTTTTCAGGCCCCTCAACCGTCAAGCGCCCGTCAACCCCTCGTCCGCCGTCGGCCAGCGCGCCAGCGTCATCAGTCACGGAGTCACGGGCGCAGGTGGACGGGGGCACGAGGCCGGCCGCCAGAAACTGACTGATTCCGAGAGCCGTTTTCGTCGCTCTGTCTCTCTCGCACCTCATAAGCACCCCGTGAGGGTGCGAGAGAGGCGGAGCGATGAAAAGGGCTCTCGGAATCAGTCTGCAGGAGAGCCTCGGCCACCTCGGCCGCGTGGCCAACCATCGCCATGATTGGCAAACAGGGCGCGCCGTTAGCGTCCATCTTCGAGGCCACGCCACGCCACGCCACGCCACGCCACACGGGGGGTCGTTGGCACGGAGCGGCGTGGCAGGGCGTGGCAGGGCGTGGCAGGGCGTAGCAGGGCTTGGCAGGGCTTGGCAGGGCTTGGCAGGGCTTGGCAGGGCGTGTCCGAGGCGTGATCCGTGTAGTGGCCTCGCTGCGAACAAGCTGTTGGCCTGACCGCGCTATCCTGCAGAGTCAGAGGAAAAGGGTCTCCCGTCCCCCCTCCCCCTCCCCTCGTCCGGGATGGACAACCCAACTTGTGCTCGGGGACGTCGATCCTTGGAGAGGCCTACACCCTCCCTGCCTCCCCCCGTCGAGGCAAACAAACTTCCAGCGCGTACACTGTACATTTCAGCAACACCCCGAAAAGAAAAGAGGCCTGGCGAGCCACAGTCGGCCAGAAGACCGGTGGAGGCGGCTGAAATTCGGGACGCGTTTTAAGGTCAAGAGTAGCTAAATGGGACTCAAAACCGAGCGTGTGACCCCACCGATGGATTGCTCGTTCGGGGTGCAAACCATTGGCACGGTCACACGCTTGGTTCGAATCTCATTTAGCGACTCTGGAGCTCAAAACGCGTCCAGAATTTGGCCGCCTCCACCGGTCTTCTGGCCCACTGTGCGGACGCGGCCGACCCACCAATGTGCTGGGACTCGTTGAAGGCGCCGGGGATCTTCCGGGTGAGCACGGCGTAGACGGTGCACACCAGGATCAGCATGATAGGGTAGCCGAAGGCGATCATGTAGGAGGCGTCCTTGTGCGAGGAGCACACCAGCACGTTGTCCTCGCGCGTGGGGTACATGTGCACGGCGGCGGGCGGCGACAGCAAGGTCCACACCAGGTTGATCAGGACCTGCGGCATGGGAAGGGCGGAGGGTGAAGGCAGGCGGAAAGCCCCTGCGGAGGCCGGGGTAGGCAGCACGCAAGGCTCGGCCGCTCGGCGGGCCAGCCTACGCGCAGCCCGGCAGGGGCTCGGCTCCAGCAAGCAACAGGCTGTCGCGGTTACCGCGCCTACAGGCCTGGCTGGACTACACGGCCCAAGGGACGTCGCGCCTCCCAGGAGGCCACTGTTTGACAGGTTGCCTACCAAAAAAAATGTATTCGCAAAGTTGCCTGCCCCCTTCCTGAGTTACAACCCCGTGACAGCTGAAAGCGTCACGCGTGTATAGTAACTTTGTAATTTAATAATTCAATTTCACGCCGTTCGCCACGCCGTCGCTTCAAACTCCAGCCGTTTCACGAGGCACGGACTCGGCTCAAGTTTTTCTTTCCCTTTTCTTTTTGACCTGTATGAACAGCAGGCCGCCGCAGATGATGAGCTGGGAGCGCGGGCTGATGAGGGAGGGCCGCTTGGTGCCGCGCTTGCCGGCGTGGAAGATGCGCGCGATGCGGTTCGTCTTGATGAAGAGCGCGGCGTACACCATGGTGAAGCAGAAGCCCGCGCTGAACCTGGAAACAACGGCCGTCCAATACCACCGGCAACAACAACAACAACAACAACAACAACAACAACAACAACAACAAAACAAACGACAACAATAGCCACCTCTGCATGCCGCACACGATGTCGGTGGGCTTGAGCACGAGCAGGAAGGTGACGCAGTAGCAGAAGAGGATGCCGGTGAGCAGGACGTAGGACAGCTCGCGGCCGCTGGCGCGCACCACGGGCGTGTCGTGGTGGGTGATGAAGACGGCCAGCACCAGGACGGTGGTGACGATGCCGAAGCAGGAGAAGGCCAGGGCGCCGATGGCCCAGCCCGAGTCCACCTGCAGGAAGTCCTCCGGGATGGCGAGGCAGCGCACGTGCAGCGCGTCGGGCAGCGTCCCCATGGCACACTCGTCGCAGCGCGTCTCGTCCGACTCGTTGCGCACCTGCAGGACGCACAGTGCACAGTGGGTGAGACGCGGCGCGGCACAGTGGTGGGTCGGGAGACCGGCGCCGGTGGCCAAAACTCCAGACGCGTTTGGAGCTCCAGAGTCGCTAAACAGGACTCGAACCGAGCGCGTGACCCCTCCAATGGATTCCTCGTTCGGAGGGCGATCCAAAGGTGGGGTCACACGTTCGATTCGAGTCCCATTTAGCGACTCCAAACGCGTTCGGGGTTTTGACCGCCTCCACCTGTCTTCTGGCCCACTGTGAGCGCTGCGGAGCGCCGATCGAGACCGAGGTTCCCGGATTCGATTGCCAGCCTGTCCCGAAGTTTCCAGCTCGCTTCTTCGCTGCTTTGTTGCATTACCTGGTACTGCGTGCAGTTGAAGCAGTGCCAGCAGCAGCTCTCCCTCTCCACGTAGCGCCGCGCCTGGCCCTGGGCGCATGGCAGGCTGCACACGGACACGGGCGGCGACGGCGACTCGAGTTGGAACTGGATTTCTGGCAGAGGAAAGAGGAGCCCGCGCGTCACTTTGCGTTTCACTGGTTTCACTGCACTGTAAGGGACTGCCGGCCGGCCGGACTCGGACTCACCGCTCATATTCAGGTGCAGCTCGGACCCGGAGTACTCGCCGACGCGCACCCAGGACCAGCGGCCGCGCTCCACCTGCTTGAAGTGGATGATGTTGTAGCGGGCCGGGCCGTCGCCGTTCTTGTCGAACTGGAACTTGTCGCCGCTCAGGCCCGTGAAGGACACGTTCCGGAGGTAGCCCAGCAGTGTGTTGCCCTCCGTGGGCTGCATGGCGTCGCAGAGGCCGCGGTGGCCGCCGCACAGCTCCAGGTGCATCTGCCTGCGGACCGCGGCGAACAGGAGCAAGGTCAGCAGCCGCCACGCGGCGCAGTGCACCAGAAGGCCGACCCAGAGTCGCGAAATGGAACTCGAACCGAACGCGCGACCCCACCGGTAAATTGATCTCCAAACAAGGAATCCTTTGATGGGGTCACACGCTCGGTTCGAGTCCCATTTACCGACTCTGGAGCTCAAAATGCGTCCGGGATTTTAGCCACCTCCACCGGTCTTCTGGCCCACCGTGACACTCTCACGCCGCGACGGTGACTTACTTGAGGGCGTGGGCGAAGGCCATGACGGCGTCGCTCACGAACTGCAGCTGGTCCTCGAAGTCGGTGTTGTTCTTGTGCAGGCGGAGGTTGGGCGCGCAGGGCTGCGTCCACTGCTGGTTGTAGGGCGTGGCGGGGCTGTTGTTGTAGCGGCAGTGGAAGTGCGCCTCCCAGAACTCTGGCGACCGATTAGCAAAACAGGAAAACGTGAGCTCGACGCAAGAAACGGAAAAACAGCAACAAAACACAGGTCACCGGATGTATACTTGGCGCGTTCGCACACGTTCCAGAAAACAACCCCGCGGCGCAGCGCAGCGGCGCACACCGGAAGCGCCACCGGGTGCAAACGTGTTACGCAATTTATGGAAGGCGCCTGCCCCTCGGTCTGCGCCTCGGACTGCCCCGCCCGCGCGCCACTCGGCCCGCCAATAACAACAGCGCGTCGTTCTGGCGAATAAATTGAGCGCGCTGCCGCCGCGGAGGCCGCGGAGGCCGCGGAGGCCGGCGTCCAGTACCAGTACTCGTTGGCCTCGCGCGGGGCGGGGCGGGGCGGGGCTGCGGGGACCGCCAAGACGGGTGGCCCGGCGCTGGAGCGGTGCTGGAGCGCGCTGGCGAGGCGCAGGTACTCGCGGAGAATATCGATCCCAATAACTCTCGGGGACCATCCATCGTGGCACGGAAGGGCAGCGGCCATAACTTCGTGACGTGTCTGGCTTTCCGGCTTTTCGGGCAACGCGGCGCCGAACGCGCCAAACGCCCCAAAACGTCTCTCTGTCTCTGTTCCACAGCGCGCGCGCGCGCTCCGCGATTAACCGTCCAATTTTTTTTCTTTCTCTCTCCCTCTTTTACGTCCAAAGGGATTGTGTGCTGTATGCTTTTAGGCTGCAGTCCGTCCCACCGGCTCGGCGGCTCGGCTCCAGCGAGCACGCTCGGTAATGAAACGGCCCCGGCACGCGCCGCAGCGGGGCACGGCACGGCACGGCACGACGCGGCACGGCACGCCACGCCACTGCGAGGAAAGGCACGCCACGCCACGGCACGCGCACAGTCTCGCAGAAGCGGTACAAGCTTGGTTAAGTTCCTCGCTGCTGATGAGTAATGCGGCAAGGCAGTGCTCTGGCTGTGCTGCCTGCGCCGCTGCCTGCGCCGCTGGCTGTGCTGTGCCGTCTGTCGGCGTGAAGGCCGCGCTGAAAGCAGGGGTGCCATTGGCAGGCTAATGGATGACTTATTACCTCAACATTATCTTCCAGCGTGGGAGTGCTGTGTTGGCGCGGCTCTCTCAGTGTGTGTGTGTGTGTGTGTGTGTGTGTGTGGCACTGTGTGGCGCTGAATGAGACAGGCGGCGGGATGGATAGGCCGTGGGCCGAGGCCGGGTTTATGTATAGGTGACCCCAGTCAGTCTATACAGTGGCCGCGCGGCCCAGCGGCTCAGAAAGACCTCAAACGGGCCTCGAGTGGAGGGTGTGGTGGTACCAATGGGTTTCTGGTTCTCTGCGGGCAGTCCGTTGCCGCGCTGCTATCATCACGTGTCGGTGTCTGGTTCGAGTCCCTGGTGGGCCGTTGTAGCTTTCTGGTCCCTACGGTGCGGGGTAAATGATGGCCTAATGACAGTGTCGTGTCGAGCGAGGGGAAGGTCGCAGCGCAAAGTAGTCAAAATTGCCTGTTTACCGTGTCGCTGCCTGCCCGGCGTTCCAGGCGTCGTGGGCAAGTCGGGCGCCTCCACTCAGTCCACTCACCCACGAACCACGGGTTGCGCTTGTTGTTGTCGGGCGTCAGGTTGAGGAAGTACTCCTCGAAGCCCCTGACGGGGTTGGCCTGCGGCTGCACGGACAGTGTGCCCTCCACCTCGCGTTCGTTGCCGTCCGAGACGAGGGAGCGCGCCGACCAGCCGTCCGAGCCGATCCAGGAGAAGCGCCCCGTGGCGCCCTTGCGGCGCACGGCGCGCATCACGCCCGCCACCTCCTGGTCCGAGCCGAAGATGATGACGCCTGCAACAGAGAGACTCCCTTTCAGGGCGGTGCCGCGGAGCCATTCCGCGAGGGTCGTCGCTCTGTCTCTGTCGCACTCATGAGGCGTCCCGTACGGGTGCGAGAGAGACAGCGCGACGACGCTGCGAACCGCCATTCTTTCCCGTGACGTGCGCGGCGGTGCGCGGCGGCGCGGTGCGTGGGAAGCGGAGGCCCAGACAGATGGAGCCCATCCACCGAGGCGGCCCTTGTAGCGTGTCCTTGGTCCCGGGGGAGAAAAGAGGAAGGGGAGGGGGAGGCAATTTATGTGCATTTCTCATCAGAGCCATATTCACTCCGCGAGAATTCTCACCAACTCCGGAAGCAATTGGTCCGGGCTTGGTCTGCGCTCGCCGGACGCGGCGGCGAGGCGGCGAGGCGGAGGCAGGCGCGCAAACAACAAACAGCGCGGCAGCGCGGCAGCGCGGCCACTAGGACCGTGCGTGCAACGCGGCAGCGCGCCCAAAAAATAAATACAAGTTTCGATTTGTTGACTCGCTTGTCGGAACATTGGCGCATTGGCGCACGGCTGGCCCCCGGTGTACGCTGGCCGGCTGGGCTGGCCTGTGTGTTCCGACGGTCCGGCGCGGCGCCTCGGGACCGGCCGGCCACCCGCGTGCAGAGTCCTTGTTTAAGGAGTCCAAATTGGACGCGAAAATGGATGGGTGATATCGCCGTGCCTGGCCGTGCCCCGGCGTGCCACGGACAGAGTCACGCGGTAATAGCTTTACACCGCACACAGCGCCCGCAAACAGCCAGGCAGTCCGCCCCGCCCCGCCCCGCCCCGCCCCGCCCCGCCCCGCCCCGCCCCGCTCGGCACACACCGCGCCGGCACGGGGCACGGGGCGAGCTCGCTTGTTTCCCTGCAGGTCCCCTTGCGACCCCCGGGGCCCTCGGGGCGCGGCGGCCGGGCGGACCTGCGCATGCAGGCAGCGGTCTGCTTCCGAAGTCCGCTCCTCTCCGTCTCTCTCTCTCTCTCTCTCTCTCTCTCTCTCTCTCTCTCTCTCGCACCCCTCCGGCCCGCGCCGTGAGTGCGAGAGAGACGGAGGGCCTTGTTCGGGCCGCGATAGAGCGAATGTGACTGGGGCCTCGGCGGCGCAGGCACTGCCAGGCAGCGACACTGCAGGCGGCAGGCAAGGCACTTTACCGGCCCATAAACTTCGGATAATCTGCGTGAAAGAGTACAACATTCTCAGAGCCGGGGGAAGCTTGGCTCGCAGCAAGGCTGATTCCGAGAGTCGTTTTGGTCGCTCTGTCTCTCTCGCACTCATGGCGCGTCCCGTACAGGTGCGCGCGAGACAGCGACGAAAACGACTCTCGGAATCAGCCTGCAGTGCTCGCCTATAGCAGTGCGGCAGGGAGCAAGCAATGCCCGCTTTACGGCTCCATGCTTCTGGCACGGCGTCTGTTCTTCCTTCTGGCACGCTAACACGCTCAGTGCGGTGCGTCCGCGGGTGCGTCCCCCAGCACGCACCACTTACGCTGCGCCGCACAGTGGGCCAGAACCCGGGGGAGGCGGTCAAAATCCCGGACGCGTTTTGAACTCCAGAGATGCTAAATAGGAATCGAAACGAACGTGTGGCCCCACCAATGGAATGCTCTCCGAACAAAGAATCCGTTGGTGGGGTCACACGTTCGGTTCGAACTCAAAACGCGGCAAGAGTTTATAGAGGCCGGCGACGGTCTTCTGGCTCGCGCAAGCCTGAAGCCCCGCTGCCCCCGCCCCGCCAGACAACCCCCTCTTTCTCCTTGGTCGGGCCCGAAATGGCATACGATCATGTGTAGTCTAGCCCTTAATGGTAATGGAGTCGGACGTAGGCAAGCCCGCCACACACCGGGCGCACCGCGCGGCCTATCCTCACGGCGCGCTCCGCCTGTCCAGCGACTCCGGAGGACCGCCTCGTCGCTCTGTCTCTGTCGCACTCATGGGGCGTCCGCAAGGGTGCGAGAAGGACAGAGCGACGAGACGCGGCGCGGAACGAGTCCGCTCCTTGGGGGCAGCAAGACGCGCCGATGCCACGTTCCATTGAATGCGAGAGAGAGTGGCGCGCACGGAAGGGGGCGGGGCTCTCTGAGGCCGCGCCTCGCGTGCAGCTAGTGCCTACTGTGCCCTCGCCATGACGTTTAAACCAGCAGCCTGCCGCACTCATTTTTCTAATTTCATGACGAGGACTCGCTGATGAAACGTCTCTGAAAAGTGACTCCACTTTCGGGGGGATCGTCGTCGTCGTCGTCGTCCTTGCCGCCGAGAGCCGCGCGTCGCCGCCGCGACCAATTTCTCTCGTTAGACTTGGCTGTACACTTTGTTAGACTTCGTTAGCCAGCGACGCAAACCTTTCCGCACACTCGACTGGACCGAGGACTCTCTAGAAGCGTCGCCGGCCCCCGCGCCACCCTCCGCGCCCTCGCCCCCGCGACCCCTCGCCCCCGCGACCCCGCGACCCCTCGCCCCCGCGACCCCGCGACCCCTCGCCCCCGCGACCCCGCGACGCCGCCTCCGCGCGCTCTGCGCCCATCGCTAGAGCACTCCCCGCAAATTACGGCGGAGAGACAAGTCATCCTCGGGAAAGATGCATTTTTCCTTCCGGTCGCTTTTGTTCACGAAAAAGGCACCGTCGTCGCCGGTGCTCTTTCATCGGGGACTTCCCCGCCCGCCCCGCCCCGCCCCGCCCCACCCCGCCCCGCCCCACCCCCCCCGCCCCACCCACCCGCCTCACCCCACCCCACCCCCGCCCCGCCCCGCCCCGCCCCGCCTCACCCCACCGCACCCCGCCCCGCAGTCTCAGCGGCAATTCTATTAGAGATTATGAAAGGCTCATCACGGCAGAAATCAACCGGTGCACTGAGACAAGAAAATATCAAAAATAATTTTTAAAGAGAGATGCGATTTTCAGGTCCGGTTCATGGACTGCGCGGATCCTTGGGCCTCGGACCGATAGAAACGGCGCGGCGTGCTGATACACGCGAAACGCGTTCGCGCTTACGGCTTTCACCGCGTTCGCTGTTTTTATTCCTCTTATTCCTTTTATTCGCGGCATTAACGGGCGGGATTGCCGCTTTACTGCCGCCGTGTGTGACGCCACGCCGCGCCGCGCCGCCAAGGTGTTGCCGGTCGTTAAATCGCCGAATTTACGGCAAACAATGAAAAGGCCGCGAGCAGCGGCAAGCAGAAGCAAGCAGGAGCGAGGAGTCGGTAATTGACGACCTCCTCTTAACTTTCCGTCCCGCATTTTCTTGCTGCCCGCAAAACTCTGTCTCTCTCTCTCTCTCTCTCTCGGCTCCCTCTTCTTCATGCTCCTCTCTCCTTACCCTGCTTCTGCACCGGCGCGCTGGCTCTTAACGCCCCTCTGCTGCTTCGCGGCCGGTCCTTGAAAACTTTTTTTTTTGTTTTTTTTTGCTCGACCTTCCTCCACTTCTTTTTTTTGGCGAGTAAGGGACGGGCCGAGGATTGAAGCGTGATGTGCAGCATTCCGTGAAATGCTAATATTTGAAGGGGGGGGGGGTGCAGCGAGGCAACAGGTTGGGATTAGTGCCCCGACGGCCGCCTGACTGACACGCTGGCAGTAATGCCATCACAGAGCGGCAAAAACAGAGCGCCCATTACAGACGCGCCTCCTCCTCCCCGGTTTTTATTTTTTTGTTTTTCGTCTCTGCCGCTAGAGGAGACTTTCCCCTCCTCCGCCAGCAAGCACAACAACATCAGCCCCACGCCGCCACGCCATAGGGCTCACATAGCCCGGCCCAGCCCGGCCCAGTGGCCCTCTTGGAAGAAAGGATGGCAAGCGAGGAGCGAGAGGGGAAATTGATTTTTCGTCCGCGGTATGGGTAAGGGGGCAACTGACCGGGCGGCCGCATCGGGCGCGCTCACACACACAAACACTCTCTCTCCCCCCCTCTCTCTCTCTCTCTCCCTCACTCACACACACACACAAACACACACAGAGGCGTACCCGCCCGCCCGCCACGGTTAGGGCTGGCCTCGGGGCGGCCGGGTCGCGACGCCGGGGTGGAAGGTGGGCCGCTGGGTTGCGCTTATCAAGTCTCCCCAGACGCACGCCCGCCCCCGCGCTGCCCCCGCGCCGCCCCCGCGCCGCCCCCGCGCCGCCCCCGCGCCGCCCCCGCCCCCCCGCCCCCCGCGCCTGCCGCCCTTTTCTGGCGTGGCTGCCGAGCAACAGCTGCGCGGTGGCCCCGGCCGGCCCAGGCTGGCCCGCCCCGCACGGCGCCGCACGGCGCCGCACGGCGACACACGAGCTCTCACACGACGCGTGACGCAGCCACGGCGCAGCGACCGGCGACTTGGGTTCGAGGCCATCATATCATTCCAGAACGAAGCAGCAAGAGAGAGACAGAGAGAGAGAGAGAAGAAGGGACAGGAAAAAAAGGAAACAGAGCGCTAAACGGCTCGTCGTCAACTTCGCAGGCAGGCACGCTAACCAACCAACTCGATTTCGAGGAAGGGAAAAATAGTTTGCGTTATGGTTCCTGGAATGCGTAATGCATGAGCAGGACGACCTGCTGCCGCGTGCTGCCGCCACGCAGGACGCCACTTCTAGTACTTCTAGTCCGCCCCGCCCTGAAAAACTCGTTCCTATTGACGGCCTTCTGCTCCCCAACTAACGAACGTACAGGCGCTTTTCTTCCCGCCCTCTTTTTTTGCCCCCCCCCCCGCGTTTAATATTTGAAAACCCTAACGAGGGGGGCAGAGGGAAAAGTCCCTGCCGCTGCGCCGTGCCGCGCCGCGCCCTGATTGCGCCGAGCGGTACGACTATCTGCGGCACGCCCGGAAAGAGGGCCGAAACAGAGTCCTGGAGTTGGCGGAGTGAGTTCGGGCACGCACAGCGTTAGCACAGCGCGCCCACAGCGCTGCACGCGCTGCAGCACCGCGAAGTGCACGTCGCCGGCGACGCGATTATCGTCTGCTGTCTCTCTCGCACTCGAGGGCTGGTCCGCAGGGGTGCGAGGGAGACAGAGCGACAAGACGCTGAGTCGGCCTGCCAGGGACCGCCCTTCGGGGCAGGCAGCCTGGCAGGCCTGCTGCGAGCCACCCCCCGCCCGGAATGGCACCATTACGTCTCACTACACTGGCTGAAAGAGAATAGGAGACAGCGTCAGATTTCCTTGGAGTCCGGCCCCACCGGCTGCCTGCACGTCCAGAGCAGAGCGTTGGCCGCGCCTCCCCCTGCGGATTCTCGCCTTGGGGAGCTTTGGGCTGGGCGTGCGTCGGCGTGCGCGGCGTACACTGTACACCCATGTAACAGCACGCCCAGTGCTGCACGGGGAGGCCGTGGCGTGGGCAGCAGGCTGACTCCCTCGCACTCCCGGGGCGCCCCGTTGGCCCGCGAGGGAGACAGCGCGGCGCGGGAAACGGGGCCCTGGTTTACTGCCCCTCTCCGCGGCACGCACCGACCGGGACGCCGGCGTCACGCCGCAGGCAGCGCAGGCCGGACGAGCGGTTCACAACAGTGGCTCCGTCTCCGTCGCACTCGCGGGGCTCTCCGCGAGGGCGCGAGAGAGACGGAGTGACAAACCGCTCTTTGGAATGACTCGCGCTTCTGAAAGTTACGAGGACGACACTTACCTCTGGCGCGCGGCTTGCTCAACAGGTTGTCGACGATCTTGTCGTAGGACTCCTCGTCCGCCACCCCCGAGTCCTTCTCCAGCTTCTCCTTGACGGCGATGCAGACGTTGCGCAGCGCCAGCACGCGCTCCAGCTCCTCGTACGCCTGCAACGGCAACGGCAACGTGAAAGGGGGGCATGGAGGCGGTCAAAGTCCCGGGCGCGTTCTGAGCTCGAACGAGGAGTCCAGTGGAGTCACACGTTCGGTTCGAGTCCTGTTTAGCGACTCTGGAGCTCAAAACGCGTCTTGAGTTTCGGCCGCCTCCACCGGTCTTTGAGGACCCACTTTGGGGAGCCCGTCAGAAAGTCGGAGAGCCAGAACAGGAAAAGGAGCAGGACCAGAGGACCACTGGAACACGCGCGCGGCACGCGGCGGGCTGCGGGCTCCCAATATCCAGGATCAAATGTACGCTGCGGCGGCGGCCCCGGCCATGGCCCCGGCACGCCCTGGCCCTTCATTGAGCTGGCCGGAACCACCGGAACGCGATGCCGACATGCCAGCAGACTGATTCCGAGAGCCGTCTTCGTCGCTCTGTCTCTCCCGCACTCTTTGGACCCCTGTTGGTGCGAGGGAGACAGAGCCACCAAAAGCATCGACTCTCGGAATCAGTCCGCAGCGTCACGGTCCGAGGGGCTCGGCGGGGCTCTGCGGGGCTCTGCGCCGCTCGGCCCGGCTTGGCACGCCCTGTTTCAAAGGAATTAAGCTCCTCTCTGATTCGAAACACGGAGGGCGGGGCGGGGCGGGGCGGGCAGGCGGTGCCAGCATCGCCCATTCCGGTGGCGTTTGGCTCGACCCGCGGCCCCCTTCTCCCCCTCCACCTTGGAGCTGCCCTCTCCGGGCTGTCCGCGCCGCATCGCATGGCGCACCGCCGCGCCGCCGCAATGCACGCCACGTGTGCTGCTTGCCAAATGCCGGCCCGGCGGTGCAGGGGCGGGGCGGGGCGGGGCGGGGGGGTGGGGCGGAGCGCCCGACTGTGGCGCATTACGACGTGTTTGTGGCTTGTTTGTGCATTCGGACAGTCGTTGGGTCAAGATCAGGAGCGCGCCCCCTGCTGGGTTCCTTCCTCGGCCGGGCCCCGCTCGCCCTGCTGCCGGCAGAAGGACCTCCGCTGCCGCTTTTAGAGTCGCGGTCCGCACAGTGGAGGCCTTTTTCAATTTCAGGGGAGGACACACGTGCGACGCTTCTTTGTGGGCGCGAGGGGGTGGGGGTGGGGGTGGGGGGCTGGGAAACGAGCATTGCCCACTCAGTGAATTACACCCTTCATCAGTTAGTCTGTCTGTCTGTTTGTGTGTGTGTGTGTGTGTGTGTGAATGTGTGGGAGTGACTGTGTGAGTGCGCGCACCCATGTGTCCCAAAGTGCGTGTGCGCCCACGCGAGCGTGTGTGTGTGTGTGTGCATGTGTGTGAGTGAGTGTTCCTTCGTGGCCTGGTACGTGCCTCGCAGGTTCCATTAGCATCTCATAAATTGATGACTTCCCTCTGCATATTCATCCCCCGCGAGTGTGTGGCGCGCTTCGAGTGGCCCATCATCGATGCCAGAGTGGCATTTACATGGCGCGACGCGGCGCGACGGCGTGCCGGACTGCAGCAGCCTCAGAGTCGTTTTCGTCGCTCTGTCTCTCTCGCACCAGTGCGGGACGCCCCTTGAGTGCGAGAGAGACAGAGCGACACCGTTCCGAATCGGCTTGCGGGGCGCACTCAGATGCGGTCGTTGGTCGCCATCCGCTGTCTCCGACCAAAACGGGACGCTGACGACAGAGGGTCGGTCCGCGGTGGCAGCTTCTTTGGAAACAAGAATTGTCGTACTACAGAGCGTCTAATTCTTTATTTTCCACCCTCCCTGCCGCCATGTTTTGGTCTATTCTGGCCACCTATTTTTCATATTTATATAACCAAATCACCAGCCCGGCCGGAGACCCGTGCCCCGGCCTCCAATCTTCAGTCCGAAACAGCCCCCGTCAAGCGCCGTGCTCGCAGCGTCGCGCCGCACAAGGAATATTTCATAAAAACTTTCCGCCGCGAGGTTCGTCTCCATGAATGCCGAACAAGCTTAGCCGGCCGCCATCGCCGCCATCGACGTCCCGAGCAGCGTCAACGTCGGTCCGCTCCGCCGCGCTCCGCCGCACAGTGGGCCAGAAGACCGGTGGAGGCATGTAAAATCCCGGACGCGTTTTGAGCTCCAGAGTCGCTAAATAGGACTCGAACGGAACGTGTGACCCCAACAATGGATTGCTCTCCGAACGAGGAATCCATTGGTGGGGTCACACGTTCGATTCGAGTCCTGTTTAGAGACTCTGCAGCTCAAAACTGCCGCCTGCGCCGGTCTTCTGGCCCACTGTGCGCCGCGCTCCGCCGCGCTCCGTCGATGCCGACTGCGACTCGGCGTGTCCTCCGCCCGCCCGACCTCGCCGGCCACGGCCCATTACCCAGAGGAGTTTCCGAGTGGCGTAACGGACGAGGGCGTCGCCGCCGGCAGCGGAAAGCCCGGCCAGCCCGGTACGGCCACGCCGAGGCCACGCCGAGCCCACGCCGTGTGGACACTTACAGGGAGGCAGAGCCGGACACTTACAGCGAGGGAGAGCACGGTGGGCTAAAAGACCGGTGGAGGCGGTCAAAACTCTAGACGCGTTTTGAGCTTCGGAGTCGCTAAACAGGACTTGAATCGAATGTGATACCCCACCAATGGATTCCTCATTCGGAGAGCAATCCAGTGGTGGGGTCACACGTTCGGTTCTAGTCCTATTAAGCGACTCTGTAGCTCAAAACGTGTTCGGGATTTTGCCCACCCGCTAAGGAGAGGCGTGCACGACACTCCAGAGGGGCCCGGCGCCGCCGCGTCCGGTCTCGGCCCATCTCGTCCACCCAGACAGGCCGAGGCGGGGCGGGGTGGGGCGGGGCGGGGCGGGGTAGGGTGGGGCGGGGCGGGGCCCGTCGCCGGACGGCCCGTCGGCTGCTTGGTTTTAGTAGTTGGCAGCCGTATCCGGTCTTCGACCGTCCCGCAAATAATTACTGCGGTTTGCCGTCGAGACGGTTCACGGTTGGAAAGGGGGGGGGGGATGGAAGGGGGTGTCGACGCTGTGGGAGGCCTTTACTACCGTGTCTGCGCGGCCTAGCTCGGCTATGCCTTTGGCGGGACAGGTGAAGGGCTGAGGCCACGGCTGTGGTCTGGTCGTCGTCTTGACCCTCGAGGCCCATGCCGCCCCTATAGTGGAAGGGCCTAGCCCTGTGGGGCCTGGCCCCGAAGGGCCTAGCCCAACCCATTATCCGGGTCGACTCATGAAAGCACTTCCCAACTCATAATTTATATTACACCTCTTGCTTTCCCTGCGCGCGCTGCGCGCCGTGCTTGCGGGTGCCGCGTTAAAAGTTGTTGCTCTCCTCTAGGGTGTATGTGTGTGTGTGGCGTCAAGGCAGTGACTGCAGGCTGAAACAAGCCTCGCAAACCCCTTTCGGAGCTCCTTTCCAGGGCCTGCCCGTAGTGCAAGCAGTGCAAGCAAAGCAACCAACGAGGGTGCAGAGACAGCAGAGTCGCTCTGTCTCTCTCGCACTCATGAGGTGTCCCGATTAGGAGCGAGAGAAACAGAGAGCGACGAAAGCGACTCTCGGAATCAGTCTGCACCGAAGGTGCACTGCATGGTTGGTTACCACAATCAGAAAAATAGCTGCTAGGAGATCAAAAAAAAAAAATTGTCACCACGACTGGATTTTACCAACCAGCCCATTCGGATCAAGGATCAACTCCCTTTTTTTCGGTGCGCCGTGCCATGATGGCGGTGCCTCTCAGAGTCTTGCAGTGCAGTGCCTTGGCAGTGCTTCGACGTGATTCGTCAGGCCCAGCCGAGCCGCGGCGAGGCAGGGCGAGGCAGGGCGGAGAGGAAGAGCGATGAATCATTCAGCGTGCCGCTGTTTTTCACCGACTTATCTCCCTTTCCGTGTGCAGTGGAGGGGGCACATCAGCAGCGCCACCAGCAACACCACCAGCAACAGCAGCACCGCTCCCCACACACATTAAATCACCATCTCGGCGCTAGAAGCTAGAAGGCAGCGCTAAGGTCGCCTCCCGCCGAGCTGGCTGCTTCGGTGCCTCGGGGGCCTCGGGGACGGTGCTGCCTGCAGCCCTGCGCTTCGTGCCCTGCACTGGCACAGTGCACAGAGGTCGAGGGAGAGCTGCCTCGCCAGGCACATTCCGCGAGTCGTTTTCGTCGCTCTGTCTCTCTCGCACTCAAAGGGCATCCCGTGGAGGTGCGAGGGAGGCAGCGGAATGGCAGTGCAGGGCAGGCCGGGGCCGGCGGCGCGCAGTATTCCCCGAAGCCGCGGCCACGTTTTACTGTTATGATAACAATTGCGAGTAATTGGCGGACTTGCGACTATTTTCCCGCCAACGCGGCAAACAAACGCGAGTAATTGGCGGAGCGGTCGGGCCGGCCGGGCGATGAGGCTGTCTCCGTCGCACCCGCTGGCAGTGGCCCGGACGAGGGAGACGGAGCGTCTGCGTTCGGAGGCGGCTAACGAGGCGTGGAGGGGCAACCGGGGTTTAATGGCGGCGAGGGCATGCCACGCCGGCGAGGTTTTTGTTTCTCGCGGTGGTTTCGGTGGGGTTTTTTGCGTTTCCGCGACGCGGCGCGCCGCCGTGGGTCACTGCTTCGGCGCGTCAAGACAAGCCGGAGCACCGCGGCGTGATGACGGACCGCTGCAGGGAGACGAGCGGCGAAGAAAGAGCGCAGGGCGGCAGGGATCGAACCAGGGACCAAGGTCGCGCCGAACGCTCGACCGAACCGCCAAAGCACCCCGTCGACGCGTCGCAGACCGAGTCGCAGACCCGGCCCAAGGCCCCGCGCCCCCGGCCGCACGTTTCTCATCGGCGCCTGCAGCTGCTCTGCTGCTCTCACGGCTAACTTGATGAGGCCCAGTAATCGGCTCCCTCGCGCCCCGCCCCGCCCTGCCCCACCCCGCCCCGCCCCGACCGGAAATGAATGGGCGCGCTACTAAAGCCGGGATCCCAGACGCGTCGCCGAAAAGTGCCCGGAGGCCTGCTGCCCCCACCCCTCCTCCCTCTCGCCATGGCACTGGCCGCGGCGCCCAGGGCAGTCCAGTCCAGTCCGGCCGGTCCAGCCCCGCGAGCAGCAACAACGGCTCAGCTCGTCCCCAGCCTGTACGCGCTGTTGGCAGTGAAGCGAGTCGCCCAAACAGGGACAACAACAACAACAACAACGCGGACCGCCGCGGTGCCACGGGGCGCCGCAGCGCAGCAGGGCTCCATAAACAGCGATGACCCCCGCCTGGATGTTTCCCCTAATGTTTTATTCACTTTTCCCGCCTTTCTTTTTTTTTTAAAGCGTCGGGCGCGTCTGTTTGGGCGAAAGGCTGTGCATGTGCAGGAGCAGCGCGTTGGCCGCGGCGACAAAGGTCTCTCACACACACACACCAACGGCCAAACGAGAAAACGGCGAGTTGGGAAACAAAAACACGAAGTGACACAATAATTAAAGCGGTGGACGGATTGGCCGGCATCCTTCAGCACTCTGTGTGTGTGTGTGTGTGTGTGTGTGTGTGTGTGTGTGTGTGTGTGTGTGCGCGTGCGTGTGTGTGCGCGTGTGTGTGCGTGCATGTGTAAGTGTTCGCGGGGTCAAGCACGACGCGAGGCGCATTGGTCTGACAGACAGTGTGTGCGCCGGTCCCACCGAACCGAACCCCTGCTGCGGCCTGCGGGCGGGGCGGGGCGGGGCGCACACGAGTGCGAGTGAGACAGCGCGATGGTGCGGCGGGAGCGCGAGGGCGGAAAGGGCGTCGCCGAACGCCAGATGGATCGATGTAAGTTGGCGGGCCAATTAGGCCAGCCTGGCCAGCCGCAGTGTAGTAGTCGGAAGTGGCAGTTCACCGTCGGCCCACCAGGCCCACCAGGCCCACCAGGCCCACCAGGCCAGCCAGGCCCACCAGGCCCGCCAGGCCCACCAGGCCCACCAGGCCCACCAGGCCCACCAGGCCCACCAGGCCCACCAGGCCCACCAGGCCCACCAGGCCCACCAGGGCCCACCAGGCCACCAGGCCCACCAGGCCCACCAGGCGCCACCAGGCCCAGCCGGCCCCCAGGCCCACCAGGCCCACCAGGCCACAGGCCCACGGCCCACCAGGCCCACCAGGCCCACCAGGCCAGCCAGGCCCACCAGGCCCACCAGGCCCACCAGGCCCACCAGGCCCACCAGGCCCACCAGGCCCACCAGGCCCACCAGGCCCACCAGGCCCACCAGGCCCACCAGGCCCACCAGGCCCACCAGGCCCACCAGGCCCACCAGGCCCACCAGGCCCACCAGGCCCACCAGGCCCACCAGGCCCACCAGGCCCACCAGGCCCACCAGGCCCACCAGGCCCGCCAGGCGGCACCCACGTCCGCCCACCTTACACCCGGTACTAATTACGGGCCACCACCAGTGCAGTGCCAGTGCCGACGGGGAGCCCAAGCTGCAGCGGCCCCAGTGATGGTTGGAAGGGGCACGCCGTGTCGGTGAGCGTCTGTCTGTGTGAGTGACAGGGCACGCGTCCGCACAGTGCGCCAGAAGACCGGTGGAGGCGGTCAAAATCCCGGACCCGGGCGCGTTTTGAGCTCCAGAGTCGCTAAATGGTACTCGAACCGAACGTGTGACCGAACGGGGAGGTGGGGTCACACGTTCGGATCTGTTCGGATCGAGTCCTGTTTAGCGGCTCTGGAGCTCAAAACGCGTCTAGAATTTTGGCACGCCCCGCCAGCTCCTCTGGCCCACTGTGCGTGCAGCGCCCCCAATGACGCCGGAAGGGGCACGCCGTGTCTGTGAGTGTCTGGGCGCGCGGGCGCACGCATGTGTGAGTGTGTGTGTGTGTGTCGTACATCCGCTGCACTGTATCTAGTTCCGGGCTGCCGGGCCGCAGTCATGGCACCCGGCACCGTCCCGGAAGTGCGCGATAGTGCGAGTGGCAGCGGCGCCGTTGCTCCGCTTCCTCCAAGCTGGCCATGATGTCGTCATGACGTCATCGTGACGTCATCGTCGCTGCGCTCCGTCACTGCTTCGATTCGGCCGCAATTAGTGCAGCAACAGCGTCCCTCCTTTGCGAGAAACTGCCGCCCCCCTCTTTCTGCCAACGCCCCGCTTCGCCACGCAGAGCGACAGTAAAAAGACAAAGGCGTTCGCCTAAAAGCGGCTGTTTCCGCTGGAGGTGGACGCTGGGGCGTACTTAGGGAAGGCGGGGCGCGGGGCCGTCTGGGGGCCGCTAAAACAGGACAGCGGCCTCCCAGCGGCCTCCCACCGCCTCCATCATCGTCACCACCGGCCTCATCCTCCTTATCGTCGTCCAAAACTTTGGCCGCGATTTCCCTTCGGTGCCTTCGGTGCCTTCGGTCCCTGCGGTCCCTTCGGTGCCTTCGGTGCCGGCGGACGTCGGCCGAGGCCTCGACCGCGGCGACGGCCCAGCAGACTGATTCCGAGAGTCGTTTTCGTCGCTCTGTCTCTCTCCGCACTCATGGGGCGTTCTTATGGGTGCGAGAGAGACAGGGCGACGACGGCGACTCTCGGAACCAGTCTGCAGGCCGGCCGGCCGGCGGAAGGCGAGGACGCCGAAGATAATGAAGCAGCCGCCGAGGAGTGACGACGAGTGTTGTAAACTTCCCGAGAGCGATCATTTTGGGGATCGTTCCCAGCAAATTCTCGACAACATTTTCCGAAGATTCCCGAGAGCAAAAAGCAAATGCCAAACTACTGCGTGTTATTTCCAGTTCTACAACCCTTGCATTTATGCATATTTTTGGTTCATTTTTCCTTAAAAGCGGGAACGTTTCCGATTTGGAGTCTCGAACAATCCCTGTAACGTTCCCAAAGATTCGCAATTTTCCCGGGAATATCCCTACCCTTCAGATCACAGACTAGTCAAGACAAAGAATGGATGATGAATGAACGGATGAACCATTGAATGAATGAATGGATGACGCAGCGCAGCACATGACCGCATCGCTACGAGGCACTGAAATTAAACTTCGGCCCGCGAGGGGGGAGGGGCAACAGTGGGGGGTTGGGGAGGTGGAACTGGAGGAACTCTCCACCACATAATAAGCTACTCCACTTGCTTCAGAGAAACTGTGGAACTCGACTGACTCCTCGAGGCCAAGACCGGGCGGAGGAGACTGGGCCAGTGGAGGGCGAAGCCCGCGAGGCGGCGGGGGAGGGGGGAGGGGCAGGAGTTGAGAAGAAGTGAACGCGGCCAGGATCGGACGAGGAAGTCCACGGACATCGCCAGGAGCCGGAACGCGGGGCAGCAGGCAGCAGCAAGCGACAGAAAGGGAAGGAAAATGGACAAACAGACGCAGTCCAAAAGCGTCATCGTCATCCTACCCGACAGCCCGGCGGCACAGGGTGCTACGGGGTGCTGGACGCGGACGCCGAGGCGCGCCATGGATGCCATCGGCGTGGAGGTCTCGCCCGTTCGCCTGTCGAGTGGAACCTTTTAGCCCGCGGGAGACATGGGGCGAGTCCCGACTTGTGACAGCGGAGCGGGCCGACTCGAGGGGACGTACTCTCTCACACACACATACTCACACAAACACACACGCGCCCGCTGTCTGTCACGCACACGAACAAGGACAAGGAGACAACAGGCCGTGCAAGAGGCGGGTTGGATCAAAGACGGCCACCTTGGCCTGCTCCGTGTTGCTGCCGGTGCCGGCCCCAAGTGGCCCGTCCGACTGGGTCCGGCGCACAGTGGGCCAGAAGACCGGTGGAGGCGGTCAAAACCCTGGACGCATTTTGAGCTCCAGAGTCGCTAAATGGGGACTCAAACCAAGCATGTGAACCCACCAAGGATTGATCTCCGTTGGTGGGGCCACACGCTCGGTTTCAGTCCTGTTCAGCGACTTTGGAGCTCCAAACGCGTCTAGAGTTTTGGCCGCCTCCACCGGCCTTCTGGCCCACTGTGCGCCGAGTGAGCCCCTTGGCGGGCCGTCACTGCCGTCCGAAGCGCGCCGCTCCGTCTACGTCGTTTGTCGGGGGCCACCGCCCGCCGGCACCAAATATATAAGGCATACTGGACTGGCGTGCCTTGGCAGGGTACGCGGCTTTGGCGGGGACGGATGACGTCATAAATAAGGGCGCAGGGCGCGCAGGGCGCGCAGCACGCGTGCGTCGAGCAGCGTCCGGGACCGCCGCGGCGTCTTGGGAGTGACGGCGAGGAGCACCTCGAGGGCCTCGACGGGGAGCGCGCGGGCATGCAGCGCTCTTTGCCGGCGAGTCCGCGCCCCGCGGCGAGCAAAGGGCTTAGGAAGAAGCCAGCCCGCCGCGCTCCGCCCCGCCCCGCCCCGCCCCGCCACGCCACGCCCCGCCCCGCCGCGCCCCGCCCCGCCACGCCAGGTACGGCGGGGAGCCCTTCAGCAAACACGTGCACCGCTTGACGCGGGGCGAGGCAACGTCGCCGCCATCAGCGACACGGAACTTTGCTCATTTCGGCGGGTGTTGTCGCCGCGGCTTGCCTCCGCGGCGTGGGCGGACACACACACGCACACACACAAACACACGCCACTCTCACCTTGATGCCGTAGTTGCTCTCCTCGTAGACGATGGACACGTAGGTCCAGTTCATCCGCTTGACGATCTCCACCATGGCGGCCACCTGGTAGTGGTCGCTGGGGATGGTGCGTGAGAAGAACTCGAAGCGCTGCTTGTTGGACAGCTCGGGCGACGTGGAGAAGAAGGACACCTGCAACAGGCAACGCCGCACCACGCGACGCGTGTCAGTTCCATGTTCATTTTTTGATAGAGTGTGCGAGCCAGGCATGCGGGCGGGCCACTGGTGGGGCACAGTGGGCAAGAAGACGGCTTTGGAGGCGGCCAAAACTATAGACGTTTTTCTGAGCTCCAGAGTCGCTAAACAGGACTCGAACCGAACGTGTGACCCCACCACTGGATTGCTTTCCGAGTGAGGAATCCATTGGTGCGGTCACACGTTCAGTTCGAGTCCGATGTAGCGACTCTGGAGCTCAATATGCGTCTAGGATTTTGACCGCCTCCACCGGTCTTCCGGCACACTGTGCGGGTTGGCGACACTCATCGAATCCCAGTGGCGCGGCGCGTTGTCTCGTCAGTCGGATTGAAAGAGTTGTGCGTATTTGTCTGTACAGTCCGCTCGGCGGCATCATCGTCCAAAGTGGATTTCCACAAGTTCCAGCAGCCTTCCCCCACTCACTATTCTCCCTCCCCTCCGTCTGTGTGCATAATGCTGAACACGGTCACGCTTGCTTGATTCCCGCGATAAACCGATATGGATTTGTCCCTCGCTCTCCAGCCAGCGCCAGCCAGTGCCAGCCAGCCTTCCAGCCGAATTACTTTCTCCTGATGAATTGCTTGTCCGAGGCGCGGCGGGGCGCGGCGGGGCGCGGCACCGTTCAAATCTGAATCACTACCACCGAGTCAACTCTTAAGGCCCTGTCCCGCCCCGCCCCGCCCTGAGACGTTGTCGCCCTAAGTGCTCCCAATTAGAGGCGCATACTTCATTGCCGCGCCTCCGAGATACACTCATTTTAATTAAAACGTTACAGCATTAAAGAGCAGCGCGGCCCGGCTAGAATATTTAGCCCAATATTTAATTACTGCCGCCATCTTGTCCCAGTCGGCCTGCCGGAGGACCGGCGGATAACAGAGATTTACAGCGCGGCCTCTCGAGCGCCTCCGCGGCGCACAGTGGGCCAGAAGACCGGTGGCGGCGGTGAAAACCCCGGACGCGTTTTGAGCTCTAGAGTAGCTAAACGGGACTCGAACCGAGCGTGTGACCCCGCCAATGGATTGCTCTCCGAACGAGGAATCCATTGGTGGGGTCACACGCTCGATTCGAGTTCCGTTTGGCGACTCTAGAGCTCAAGACGCGTCGAGAGTTTTGCCGCCGGCGCTGGTCTTCTGGCCCACTGTGCGGCGGTCCGAGTCCCCCCGTTCCAATCGCCCAGTGCCGCCCAGTGCGTCCCCGGGCATGGATCATATGAATCATGAGGCGCGGATTCTAATCGCGGCAAAAAATAAAATGGCCTCCAGAGCGTCGAGTTGGAGGAAAAGGGGCACCAGCGTTTCCTGGTGCCTTTTGCCCGCCGCAATCCACGCCCCGCGCTCCGGGCCGCAGGAAACGAACACCCCTCAGAGTCTGTGTCAGAATTCAATTGAGCAGCACAGCCCCGCAGGAGGGCTAGGCGGTAGCAGAATGACTCCGAGAGTCGTTTTTGTCGCTCTGTCTCTCTCGCTCTCATGGGGCGTCCCGTACAGCGAGAGACACAGGGCGACGACAGTCACTCTCGGAATCAGACTACAGGAAGTGTTCGGCAGGCGTTGCCCAGGCGTTGCATAGTGGGCCAGAAAACCGTTGGAGGCGGCCAAAATTCCAGACGCGTTAGATCCAGAGCCGCTAAACAGGACTCGAAGCGAACGTGTGACCCCACCAATGGATTCCTCGTCCGGAGAGCAATCCATTGGTGGGGTCACACGTTCGGTTCGAGTACCATTTAGCGACTCTGCAGCTCAAAACGCGTCTGGAGTTTCGGCCGCCCCCACCGGTCCTCTGGCCCACTGCGGCCGCGCTCGCTGCGTTGGGCGGCATTATGGGCGATACTATCGAAGGGCTGCTCAAAGGCTGTGCCGGCCCACCTTGCGCAATCACGCCGCATTGTCCGAGGAGGAAGGAAGCACGGAAGAACGGACTCATTATCGCCTCATCAGCCCCAACTTTTAATTATGGCGAGAGCCGAACGAACGGTAAGCCGAGCCGGGGGAAGGGGGTGGGCCATGGCATGGACCACCGAACCGGGAGGCGGCGAACCGAAAACCGCGAGCTGGAGGCGGCCCGGGTGTGTGAACCGGACAGCGAGCCGGGTGTGTGAACCGGACAGCGAGCCGGGGCTAACCGTACGCGAGCCGGACCGGTAGCCGCCCCTATTGCAGGCCCTGCAGGCCGTGCAGGTCCCTTTGCAGAGCGAGCCGGAAGCCGGAGAGGGTTTATTCGATCGAGTCGGGAATGCACGTAATGAAATGGCAGCAAGCCGCGGGGCCGGGCGAAGCCACGCGCAGCCCAAACGGCGTGGGCACCCACGCGCCGCGCTCTCTGTCTCTGTCTGTCTGTCTCCCTCTCACTCCCCCCCCCCTCTCTGTGCACGTGCCACCTCAGCCGACCCATTCAATCCTGGCAGAAACGCGAGCTGCGTGCGCCGGGGAAGGAGAGTCGCGTCGTACGTTCTCCTTTCCCGTGTCACTTTTTTCGATGCGAACTTGAGACAAATGCTCGCCGCACATGCACGGGGGCCACGTCCGTGTGTGTGGGCGCGCGCGCGCGCGTGTGAGTGTGTGTGTGTGTGTGTGTGTGTGTGTGTGTGTGTGTGTGGGTGAGTGACTGTGTGTGCATGTCGGCTTAATTGCGCGAAGGCGTATTATCGCGCGGCTCGGCCTCGCGGCGCGGCGGTGTAACTTTGGGCCGAAAGCGCCGACAACGTTACGAACACCGCAAGGCGCGCATGCCGCGCAAGGCGCCAGCAGAGCAACCCACTGACCCACTTGTCAGACCGTGCAGGTCTGTCCCGAAACGGCAGTGGAAATTAGAGGCAGAGCCTGCGTCAGCGAGCCCCTTCCCCTTGCGCGGACACAGCCCTGCTGACGCCCAGGCCGCCCCTGGAGGGCAGGTAGCTGGTTGCCCGAGCACCATCGTTGAATAGGACGCGTTTCGAGCTCCAGAGTCGCTAGACAGGACTCGAACCGAACGTGTGACCCCACCAATGGATTGCTCTCCGAACGAGGAGTCCATTGGTGGGGCCACACGCTCGGTTCGAGTCCTGCTTAGCGACTCTGGAGCTCAAAACGCGTCTGGAGTTTGGGCCGTCGGCGCCGGTCCGTGGGACTGACCTGGGGGATGCGGAACAGCCGCAGCAGGTTGGCCACCTGGATGGAGGTGACGCTGGAGGCGGCGCCCACCACGCCCGAGATGACCTTGCGGGCCGCGCTCTGGTTGCACTGCACCTCGGCGTCGTCGATGTTGCTGATGGAGC